TTTTAAATAAAACATTAAAATGTTGAAAATGTTCATATATTTTAATAGGGTTTTGGCACTTTATTGAGGAATTACTACATACATAGTCGAACCGAACTTGATATTTTGAAATTTAAATTATTTATCAAAATTAAAATTTAACTTGAAATTTATAATTATTTAGTCATATTTTGCATAATTCTAAGTAGATTTTGTAAAAAATCAAGAAAGAAAAATTTTAACGTGCATTATTTTTTCTTTTTTATAATAATACATATTATTATATAATTAACATATTCATAATGTTTCACCCTTTCAAAAATATAATACTCCTCCTCTCAAATAAACGTACATACGGGTGGCCTCTTTTTTCAAAAAATTAAAATTTGAAATTTTGGGCTCAAATATTAGAGATTTTTTCAACCTTCAACGATATATGTTGTCTATATCAGACCTCCTTTCTTTCTGATACTTAACATTGTTCCTAAATCTTAGCCGTTAAGGCTGTTCTGAAATATAGATCCAAGGTGATGTGATTTTTGCATCCCTGGGATGGATGATACACCCAAAGTGTCACCTTTTTTGGGATAACATGAATTTTAAATATCATGAGAGTTCTGCAAACCATATGCACAATATCTATTCAGCCTGACTTCTTGTATATATGAGTTAGACTTCTTAAATATTGTGCTTGGGGCGATATAAGCATTTCCGAGATTACCATCGTGCTCTATAGTATGCTACTTCTCCCTGGTTCTAGCTCAGTTCCAAGGATATTGGCGTTCAAGGATTTGGCAAGGTCCTTCCGAAGTCTCTCATTCGATGAGAGATTTCGGAAGAATCTTGCCTTAAAGTACTCCAACTCTTGTTCTTTTGTTCCTAAATAGTGAGAAAAGTTATTTGACTACTTAAGGTAGAGATTATCCGAGGTCCCTCATTTGATGAGAGGCCTCGGATAATCTCTGCCTTAAAATTGTACACTTGTAGTCCATGAGAGTGTAAGTATACATTGATAGGACAGCTTTCTTCTGAAGTCTTAGATTTGATGAGAACCTCAGAAGAAAACTGTCCTATTTTATAGTAAAAGGAGTTTCAGGAGCTCCAAAGCTCCTAATCCTTACGAAAGGGAGCTTTGGAGCTCCTGGTTCGTAGATGTGTTTCGCATCTTTCATCAGCAAAGGACATTTACCATCTGGGACTCTGTTGATGGAGACTCAGGAGCTCCAAAGCTCCCTTTAGTAAGGATTAGAAGCTTTGAAGCTCCTGGTTCGTAGACGTGTTTCGCATCTTTCATCAGAAGAGGCCCAAATGGTAAATAGCCTCTGCTGATGAGCTTCAGGAGCTCCAAGGCTCCCTCTCGTAACGATTAGGAGCTTTGTAGCTCCTGAAGATAAGGTAGGATTGCTCTGATCTCTAATCAGTAGATGCCATGCCTCATTATGAACTCTACTGACAAGAGATCAAGAGCTCCAAGGACTCCCTTTTTAGTTAGTGGCGTTCTCACCATTTAGTAGGATTGCTGATCCTACTAATGAAGTGATCACTTAGTATACGTTTTGAATAAATTGAATTTTTTTTAGAATTTAGTATTTTTTATAGACATCACATGTATATTATAAATACATAAATATATTCTTTAATTCAAAAAATTCAATTCGGTTTTGGGATGGGTATCCCAGCCCCAAGTATTCAATTTTATTCAATTTTTTAAGAATTTTGGGTTGGGATGCCCAGACCAAAACAAGCTTTATATTTTGATGTGTAGATACGTATGTGTGCATCATTGTTGTGTTATATATTATGTTTTTAATGAAAAAAAAATCTGATTCAAAAAAAATTATCACTAATTAGTTGATAATATAAAGAAAAAATAGATAAATTGTATGTTTTGAGAGTATTTATCCACATTCACTCATATGAATTTCATTAAATAGTGTCTTTTTACTCCCAAATTTATTTTGAATTATTGAAATCAAAGAAAAAAAATCAGAAAAATTTCTCGAAATTTTTATTTTCAAAAAAATTTGGATTTTATATTGAAAACTGACGAGTGTGGGACAAACTATCCAGTGTCACTTTTTATTAACCTTATTTAAAAAAATTAATAAAATAATAATAAAAAATTATTTGAATCTTTTACATTAATTGTTTCTTTTTTAAAAGTACCTTTAAAGTACAATAAACAAGATTTGAATCTATTGATCCTTGTTGCAAACTTGAATATATTGCTTCAAGCATTTTTGAGAGTAGCCCATGCTAGCTTTTATCTCTTCTTGGATACCAAACTGGAGGAGCTCCATAGTGTTGAATATCACGGGCTCCATACAACAAATTGAATAAGGTATTTCAAAATTTGAAGGAAATGGTCCATCATTGAATGTAGTGGCCGGGAATTGAATGACATACAGATAGTTTGAGGAAATTTGTTATAAATTATAATATAATTGAAGAATTAATTATCAAAACAAGTCTAAGAGCCATTTGTCAGATTTTCCCGAAATGCAAGGTTAAGATTTTAGCAGCGACTAACTTTGAGTGTACATATATAATTGTTATACTGAGTACTTTCTATCTGTGTTACTTATTTGAGTCTAAGAGCCATTTGTCAGATTTTCCCGAAATGCAAGGTTAAGATTTTAGCAGCGACTAACTTTGAGTGTACATATATAATTGTTATACTGAGTACTTTCTATCTGTGTTACTTATTTGAGTCTAAGAGCCATTTGTCAGATTTTCCCGAAATGCAAGGTTAAGATTTTAGCAGCGACTAACTTTGAGTGTACATATATAATTGTTATACTGAGTACTTTCTATCTGTGTTACTTATTTGAGTCTAAGTCTCATTTCTACCATAGAACTAGATATTGTCTCTCATTAAATATATATAACTGTAAACTGCTTAATTCATTTATCTATTTAGATAAAATTATATTTATATAAGATTTCATGTTATTATTTCATCTTTATTATTTTTTTATTCCTTTGAAAAGTGACACTGGATAGTTTGTCCCTTTCTCAAAACTGACACTGGGAGGATAATAGGGCTGGGATTGGAGATACCCCGCTCACTTGGGAAAAATACGGATCTATATTCTGAAAATATTTTTTTTCGAAAAAATTCGAAAAAAATTCTTAAAATTCAAAAATCCCTTAATTCCTGAGGATTTTGGAAAAAAGTTTTTACATGAACATGTGTATATTATATGAAGTATATTGATAAGGTAAAAATCAAATTTTATTGCATATTCATCGAGAAAATAAACTAACGAATCCCTCAAAATTGAGAGGGTAATCCTCCTCCTCTCAAATAAACGTACATACGGGTGCACCCTTAAGGGTTCACTTATCATTTTCTGACAATCTCTCAATTTTTTTGACACAAGAAAACTATGATGTAGAATTTCTTGTAAAATAAACAGGATTTTTCTTATTCAAATTTGATTATTATAGTATAATAAACCCATTTTCCTACGTAAAGTCTCCCTATCGTTTTTCTGCCTCAATATCGAGTGAATTTCTATCAAAAATTTGAATAAGAGACTTTACAAAAGAAAAGGAGTTTATGTCGAATCATTCTATTCAATTAAATCAGTAGGATAAGGAAAAAATATAAGAATTATATTCCGGAATTCATTAAATACACATTTTAGAACCTATGCTTATTTCGGATTCAAATTTTTTGGATTCAATTGCAGCCAGATGGCAAGACCTTAATTGAGTTCTGTTGATTAAGGTTGATTTTAAACAGATGTTCAGGAATTTGAATTAAGGCTGCACTTACCCCTATCTGACTTTAATTCAAATTTTTGATAACTGGCGTGAAACGTCTTTGAAAAATCACCTTAAACATCTGAATTGAAGGCCATATCATAGGGGCGTAAGTAAACTATGAGTCAAAAATTTATTAGTAAGCCTTTTGATTTGGCAGTTAAAAGTACAGTATGCATTGTGCGTCGCCTGTAGCCTACAGCTACAGTCACCGGCACAATGAAAAAAGTGACAGAAAAGTGACACTATACGGGTGCGCATATGTACGCATATATGTGTAAAAATAAACGTTCATATGTAAACTAACCTTTATTCACTAGCAGGGGCTGATAAATCATAATCGTCGAGAAGTACGATAAGTGGTCCCACCGGTTTAATCTGTATGGAGAGGCAAACGTGACGTAAGAAGCATAACACTGGTTTCTCAGTATATTTAATAGACTCTGCTGTTGGCTTAACTGTAAGCTTATAAAAGAAGCAGATCACGGAGGCAAAGAAACGCTTACATCAACTCCTTGATGAATAATAAGCTTACTTAAGACTAAACAATTAATTATACTAACTTTTATACTTTTTCTCTTTTCCTAAGTTGATCGTGATCACAAAGATCGTGATCTGAGTGACAATGAACTATAAGTTATATGAGGATATATGTGAGTAATATGAGTAAAAATAAGAGTTATATGCATGAAATTAAGCGTTTATTCTTAACTTATGTGTGGGATCAGAAGTCAGTGGCTAAGTTCCTTATGGCGCGCTTTAATTCATGGTAGGATGCGTCTGCCATAAGGAACCTTTCATGCCAGCTGTCTGACTCATGTCCCACACGGTTGAGACGAGATCGAAGATCGCAGATCTCGTTGGCATAAGAGTCAACTTTATGCTCAAGCTGGCTGATGTAGAGCTCTTTACCTTTCGCTTCCTCTACTTTTTCAGCCAGCTTGAGCTTTAGTTCCTCGAGAGCTACGTTTGACTCCTCCAGCTGCTTCAAATACTTGTGGCTGGTCTTGATTAAACGTAGCTCTCGAGGAGTAGCTCGTGGACCCGTTTTCTTTGCCGTTTGCTTGTGATCGAGATCTGGGATCTTGATCTCGGTCTTCGGACTCTCGCCACCCATCAATATTTCCTCGTCGCCAGAGGACTGTTCTTCAGTCACCTCTGGCTTCTGGATGGCAAGAGCCTTAGCAGGAGCTGTGTTGTTCGCTTCCATTAAAATGTAAACTTTACGTGTCAAAAAATTTCTGTCACGTAAACTATTTATGTTGAGATTGAGTACCAGACATTAATATAAGTTCAACCATTATATTAGAGTCTTTAGGAATTTCATATGGTTCTTTTACATAATATTCCTTTTTTTGACCATCAGTTGATTCTTCAACTCTTTTGAATGAAAAGCGCTTATAAAACTCAAACACGAGTGCATCTTTATAACCAGTGATATCGTAAAATTTTGGTGGCACAAGCTGTTCATTCACATTACATATAAATTGTTTGTTATCATGAGCAATATTACTCAACGTTACTAAAGGCTCAAGGAGAGGATTTATTTTTATCTGATAACCGACAAATTTATATGTTGGTTTGCCCTTTCGTTCAAGGATAAACCTGATATTCGCTATAGTTATGAAAAGCTCATCAAAGTACTTATATGTTTTTTTATCTTTATCATTTTCGTCAGTGAAATCTGCTATGGTAAAACTATAATATACATGCATTCGCGAGATATATTTTTTTTCCCATAAGTCTAAAAATTTTGCTTTCGATGGAATTACTTTTTGCGTGAATGTTCTACCATGGTCATCTTCCCAAACAAGATCTGGTTTTCTTGATGTTGTGTCTGTTTCAGTGGTTTCTAATAATGCAGTGATGAAATCCAACACACCTCCTAGGGACATGTCATATTTATAATTCAAGGCATTTTTTTCTATACTACTGTATGGAGGTAATGTTATAATTGGTGATGTACCTTTTCTTAATACATTCAATTTATTTTCATTTGAATCATAGTAACAATCAACAAATTCTCTACTTGCCTCAGTCATTTTTCATAAACCTTCATTTAACTCCTGTGTAGTCATGTTGGGTTTTATGTAATATCTCATGTCAGACCTTTTTTTCACTGATTTTGATGAATCTGTCATTTCTAATGGAATAGCAAGAAACTCAAAGTCTGGATGCTCAAGACTTATCTTTCTTATCTCAAGAGCTTTTGACGCAGGATATTCAATGAAGTCTCTCGGTAATTTATATGAGACTGTATTACCACTTATCGTGCCATCATTCATAACATGTTCATAGTATAATCCATCATATTTAGACATTTTATATGTAACTAAAAGATGGAGAAAGTTATTAATCAAGTAGATAAGATTCTTCATGATGGAGCACGTAAGAATAGTAAAGAACTAAACAATGCACTCATTATGCCATTTTCTGATGATTATCCATTTTGTACTAATGGTGTTTATTTCTACTGCGGTAAGATGGGTTCAGGTAAGACATATGGTGTTATTCGTCATATAATGATAACAGACCGCTTCACTAATACTCCATATTATGACTCAATAGTTATCTCAGCAACATCAGGAACAATGGATAAAACAGCGAAGACATTTATGAGTCAAGTTAAAGCACCAGTACTGAAAAAGGATGATAAAGAACTTATGCCTTATTTAATGAAGAACGTTAAGATGAAAGCAAAGTATTACGCTATTGTTGAGTTCGTTCAAAGTAAGTTCGAAAAAATTTCAGAGGAGATGGAACACATCTTAACAAAGCATCAACTAAGGAAACCTGATGGAAAGTTTGAGTATAAGAAGATTGCAATATATGTTGTAAAGAAGTTGAACAAATATCCTTTCACAAAGTATCCCAGTAATTCTCTATTAGTGTTAGACGATTATGGTGGTCATGACTTATTGAATGACCCACGTTCACCATTAGCGAACTTCATCACTAAGGTCAGACATTATAACTATACTGTTGTCATCATGTGTCAAACATGGAGACATATATGTTTAAACATTAAGAGACTATGCACTGACTTCGTTATCTTTCAAGGTTATTCTATGAGAGACTTTCAGTCAATGATTGAACAGTCAGGAGCAACAGAAGATTGGGAAGAGTTATGGAACAAATACAAAGAGCTACCAACACCTCGTTCATATATGGAAGTTCATATAGTTGCAGGAAAGACGGACTTTAAAGAAGTTAAGCAACAAAAGATGACATTATTTTAAGAAGAAATAAATGGGTTTTGGCGATTATGTTAAAGCTGGATGGGGTATGGTGAAAAAAAATCCTGGTCTTGTAATAGGTGCTGGATTTAACATTGCTAACAAACTTTTCCCTCAAGTTGGTCAAGTCGGTGGTGTTATCGGTAGTCTTGGTGAAAGAATTGCAAAAACTACATTAGGTGAAGATAATGCATTAACGAAGAATCTTAAAGCATTCAATAAAGCTCTTGGTGGTGACTTCAGTAGAGACAAGCCTGTTGAAACACCTATAGTTCAACCTCAACAAACTATTGACAACAATAAGTATAACGCATACATTGGAGGAGCTATTTGGAACAATCATAAGCCATTAGTTCAGTCAGTACGTGTACTATCAGACATGCCATGGATTAATGCTATTAGTGGCACTATACGCAGATAATATATTTTTATGAGGTTTAAATGAGTGAACAAGAGAGGAAACTCATTGATGAACGAGTTAAGAAATGGGAGAATGAACGTCCGATAATTCGTACCATAATTAGCGATCAAAAGTTCAAGCAGCATACATTTGATTTTTTGCGCGATATATATAATGATCTTGCTTTTGATTACAATGCTAGGCAATACTTTGAGAAAGAATATGTTCAAAAAGGTCGTATTAATTTCCCAATGAGAAGAGAAGGCTTTTTGATTACATCAACATATACAGCACGTGGTAGAGACCCTTTTACAGACGCGGTTCGTAACTTTAAAGCACGTTCTTCTATTAATGATGATCCAGATTTCTACATACCTTATTTTCGTCCACCTTCGCATCCTTTACGAACCAGTGATCCTGGATATGACGCTAAACGAAGATATATAGAGACGAAATTAGCTAAATACAAGGAACCTAAGGATCCAAGGACTGGAGAAGTAAAGGAATCACATGTCAAGATAAATAAGCTTTACAAAGTAGTTGAAGAATTGGAGAAACGATCTAATGAGATTAACGCTGAGAAGAAAAAGGAAGTACCAAATATGAACAAACTAGATAAGATGATTAAGGAATATAGAGGATTGGCGAATACATCGAGCGTTCTAATAAAGGAAGTAGAAAACACGACAAAGCTGCAGAAAATGATTCATGATGAATTACTGTTAGGTGAATTTTCTATAAAACAAAGACAGAGTAACTTAATGGGTGAGGCTTATTATTTGGAGAATTGGTATAATGAGAGGTTAAAACAAATGTCGACTCCAACACCAACTCCTACACCTACTCCTACAGTAGCTCCAACACCAACACCCACTCCTGAACCAACAGTAGCTCCAACGCCAACTCCTACAGTAGCTCCAACGCCAACTCTGACACCAACTGCTCACGCAGGTCCTCCACCAATGTCGAGTAGTCATGGTATAACATTAAATAAACCAACACCTACACCAAAAATAACTCCTGTATCACATCCTAGTACAACTAACCCAGTATCTGATTCAAATCAAGCGGAAAGATCACAGGTTCTTAAAAGAGCTAATACACCAACTGCTTCCCCTATTAGAACACCAGAGCCAACTCCAAGAATCACAAAGGCGCCAACACCTTCACCGACTGTTGAACCAACTCCAGAACCAACAAGTACCTCCAACTCCATCTCCAACTCCATCACCGACACCTACAAAAGCACCTACTCCATCTCCAACTCCGACTAAAGCTCCGACACCGTCTCCAACACCAACTAAAGCTCCAACACCGTCTCCAACTCCAGCTGAACCAACTGATGCAGAATCTATTCAAAATTGGTTAGACGAAGAAAAGCGAAAAGAAAAGGCTGCAATTGATGCTGCACTAGATAAAAACACACCACCACAGACACTTGGTGGTTACATGTTAAAGAAAGACAACATTCAAAGACAAGAACGTGCATTGAGTGTTGCCAGAGAACAAGCACAAGAAGAGAAGAAAATAGTTGAAGGAGAAGCTTCAAATAGAGGTGGTCCAGGAACTTACAAAGGATCAAACTATCCAGCAGAGAAAGCCTCGAGTGATAATGTTGTCTCAAGAGCTACTGATTTAGTTACCCATGGTATTCTAACTGGTGCAACAACTGTTGGTAGTGCTATTGGAACCGGTGTTGACACTGTTGTTGATACTGTAAGAACTGTTACAAATCCTACACCTGAAGATAGGAAGGAAGAATTTCTTACTCTTAATACAAAGGCAAAACCAGGGATATGGATTGGTCGTGGAATTTTAAATGCTGGTAGTGCTATTGGCAATGGTGCTTCAGCGGTAGGGGGATGGCTCGGAAGAACAGCAACATCAACCGCAAATGGAATACTAACAGGTGCCAAATCACTTGGTAATTGGGCTGATGATAAGTATACAAAATATTATGAAGAAAAAGCTCGTAAGGCTAAAGAAGAAGCTGAACGAAAGGCGAAAGAAGAAGCTGAACGTAAAGAACTAGAGGAGCTTAAGAAGAAAGAAGAAGCAGATAGAAAGGCTAAGGAAGAAGCTGATAGAAAGGCGAAAGCAGCAGCAACACCAACTCCATCGCCATCTCCATCTCCTTCACCATCACCATCTCCATCGCCATCTCCATCTCCTTCACCATCACCATCTCCATCGCCATCTCCTTCACCAACACCATCAATAGCGGTTCCTGTGAGACGATTTGGTGCATGGGGTGCTGATTTAGTCAAAGATGCTGCACAAGGAATTGGAAAGGAACTGAAGAACGCAACATTAGGTACAATAGAGCGTTTTGGTAATCTTACGGATTACACAATTAGATCAGCTGATAATCTTTTATATAACCAGACTACTGATAACGGTACTGATGAATTGGCTGTAAACGGACTAGCATCAATTAAGAAATCAGTAGAAGATAAATACGATGAATGGAAAAAGAATATTAAGGGTGAATATAATAAGTATGCATATCCTGAAGAACATATGAAGTTAGAGCTTACCAGACTAAGAGCAAAATATGGTAATGAAACAACAAATACTACAACGCAAACGACGAAAGCTGACAGAAAGATTGATGACACTCCTACTCCAACTCCACCTCCAAAGAAAGAAACTCCAACACCAACTCCTGCAATGGCGAACATCACAACAATTGCTCCAAGAGTTCCAACAGGAGAAGGTATATCAGGAAATGTTTCAACTACTCATAACATTACTGAAGCAGCTAATGTTTCAGCAGTTGAGCAACCTGTTGTTAATGTAACTCAGGAAAACGCTACTGAAACATCAACACCAAGACAGGATGTAAATAATGAACGTCCAGAAGTTAAGGAGGTTGCAAAAGCATACCTGGAGAAAAATACTACACAAGTTCTTGAAGCAGAAAAGCATCTCAATTCAGACAAAACTCCAACACCAACTCCTGAAGCAACTCCAACACCATCTCCAACTCCTGAAGCATCAGTTCCTCCAGCAATTGGTGGAAATATACCTTCAGTACCACCATGGCAGAAATTTTATGGATTGTTTAAAGGAGCGAATAAGGTAATGGATGCTGCTGAGAATCTCCAAAAGTTCAAGAATGAAGTCGCAACTGGTGCAAAGGAAATAGAAGAGAATGATAAACAAGCTGCTGAATTAGCTAAGCAACAAGCTGCAGAACAAGCTAAACAACAAGCTGAAGCAACTAAACAAGCAGCAGCTCCTAAACAATCTATATCTAAGTCTCAGAGACAAGGTCCTGACCCAAGTGCTAAAGTCAAACAGAATCCAACACCACCTGCAGCAGAGAAGTCCAAGAAGGATAAATCAAAGAAGGACAAAGACAAAAAGAAAGATAAGGACAAGAAGAAAGATAAGGATAAGAAAAAATCGTCAAAAGATAAAAAACATAAAAATTTATCCAGTAAGAAATGAGTCAAGTCATTAAAGCATCAACTAAACAAAAGTGGTTAACTGAATATATAAAAGATGGTAAGGTTCCTGATGGATATTATGTACATACAATGAAAGACGGACGTGTATAGTTCCGTAAAGTCAAGCAACCTCTCAATGATGAACATATCAGAAGGAAGATCTCATTGTATGAAACAAAAATAAAGGACTTACAAGCTAAACTCGAAACCCACGATACTTCTCAAGAAAACTAGGCATATCTTTAACATGACCTTCATTAATATTTTTCCTCCAATACTGTACTTCCATTTGTGACAACCTGTTTGGATTACCTTCACGCATACCTCTACCTGTCACTTTTCCTGTATTTTCGTTCTCAAACGTAACATCATATTTACATCATTACCGACAAGTTCATGACCATCAATACTTTTAACAGCACCGTGTCTTCCTTGATCTAAAGTTTCTCCTTGCTTTAATCCATGCTCTATTTTTGTCCATATCTGATAACGTGGATATCTTGCAACACTTCCATCTTTTGCTCTTAACAAGTATGCACTTGTATCAACTGAATCAACTGTATAATAAGAAGGATCAAGATGTTTCTTTTGTTGGTTACCTTTACCCCATGTTCTTGGTTCAACTATGACTTGAACTTTTTGACCAGGTCTTAAGTTATAAAGGTTATTTTTTCTGACATACTCTTCTTTCAATCTTTGCTTCTTTATATATTCCTCATTATCCTTTTCTGTGAAATCATCAGGCTTTTGTTGTGTGCTTGAATGATATTCAGTGTTGTAGTCATTAATGATTTGTCTCATTGTATCAGCAGTGAAAGGTGGTGTTTTTTCACCTTCTTTGAGGTTTAACTTCATATGTAACATAGTTCTAATAGTTCTACAGAACCTATTAATAATACCTAGTATGTTATGATTGTATTTCTGTGTCGTCATGTGTTCAATGTTATGACTGACCAACAGATCTCGAACATTTTGTGTCGTATAAGCTGGGTCTTCATCACTAGTAAGTATTGTAGGCTTCATTTCACATGTAGCTTGTGAAAGGAACTTCTGCATTGCACTTAGAACATTGTTTGAGTTCTTTTCACTCATTGGGAACGCATAACCTTTTCTACTGTTTACATTGATGAACAAAAGAAAATATGTGTGTTCCACCAGGATTCTCAAATGTATCGAATTGATAAGCTCCCATATCAGTTGAATATATTGTAGCATCAAATCCTCTTGTATTAAAGTTTTTTCTTGTTTACCAACAGTCATTTTTTATTAACGTTAAAGTCTTACAGGCATTGAGTAATCACTATAACCATCATGGTCTGCGAATTCATGTAATCTTGATGCATCAGGTTCTTTCTTCGTTGGTGCATGAAACCTTGCTTCATCATAAAGGTTCATATAATGGTTTGTCACGTTTGGTGTAGACCCAATCTTTGCATATTGAGGATATGAGTAATGATAGACTAAGTTGAACCCATTACTACCATCATCAACATATATCTTTGGTGGAGGTTGTCTTATTAAATTCCTTCCTCTTGGAGCTTTGAGTTAGACGATCTGATCTAGATCATTGTAAACAACTCCTGTTGCAGTATATTCTGTGTTGTTCTCTGGGTTAATGTTTGTCATTTATAAGAGAATAAAACAATTTTTACTCATAACAAATGAGATCGAAGTCAATACTTTATGGTGCAGCTAATGTTCCAATTGAACCAACAAGTAATGTTGATTCAAGAACAACTAATAACATTGTGATAAAGAACTATCCATCTGGTACTGTCAGTGATGCTCCAACAGAGATAAAAAAGAGGAAACAACTACGAACTCAGAAGCACCAATGTATCCTCCTCCTTTAAGTCCATTAACTTCCATCCTGACCTCATCGAGATCTGTGGAGACTTCATCGAGGATTGGTGTAGAAGAGTATTTACTTAGTATATACCAGAAGATATTGTTAGATCAAGACAAAGAGCTCTTTCTAACTTAGTGAGCAAAGATCAGATCTTACTACCTAAGCCAGACTTGGAAGAAGTTGTTCACAGAATGACTGGGTTCAAGTGTGAAATAGATTTATTGGACCCAGACATTACATGTTGTGGTATTCCACCACCTTTCTCAAAAATAGCTCAGATCAGAATCATTGATGAGAACAATATTGCTCAAGAGTTTAAGTATGCATATAATGCTCAATATACTGAGTTAATAAGTAGGTATAATTTATGTCTTAAGTATGTTATTGTTTAACCAAAATTATTTTAGAACTTTTCGACGTACTCCTTGATCTTGTCAAGAGCTTCGAGCATCTGCTTCTTTGCATTGTGCTTGGCGAAGATGGCTTGCTCAATGGTGAACTCGAAGGCTTCTTTACCGATCGGCTGGTGATCGCGAAGATCTTTGAGTGCATCAAGAGCTGCAGTGTACTCTGATGGTAAATGGGTGCCATCAATGAGTGTATAAAGGATGAGCATGTACTCCTGTAGTAAGTTCTCCTGTTTCAAGCGGGACTTGAACTCTTCGCGGAGATCTTGAAGCTTTTCGAGCTTCTCAGTTGCTTGAAGGTATTCAATGATGACCTTCTCTTGTTCCTCAAGTGCTTGTGGGAGGAAGTGGACATAAGCTGTTGACTTCATCAAAAATGAAGTGGTCGTGACACTTTTAAGTTAATGTCCGAGCCATACAGTGATGTCGAAGCAGCACATGAACCAAAGAAGAAGTCTTGCTGGGAAAAGACAAAGATTGTTGGTAACACAATCCTAGTCATTTGTGTTGTTTTGAACTTGATCGTACTTCTGATCTTGTTCTACAAACTCAACAGAGGTTATTGTCTCAAGTAAACACTTATTTTTATTACCATATAAATGATTTTTACCAAACCTCCTTTACCTTTCATAGGCAATAAGTCTAAGATCAGGAAAGATCTTATCGACATACTCAAAGACATCAAAGGAGATTATGTCTTCGTTGACCTCTTTGGTGGCTCTCTCTTTATCTCTCATCTGTTGCATACTTTGTTCCCAAAATCAACGATCATTGCTAATGACTATGATAACTACGTTGATAGACTGAAACACATTCATGACACGAATGAGATACTTAAGGAACTTAAGGAGAGAATAAATGTTAAGCCAGATGAGAAAATTCCTACTGATCAGAAAGAGATCGTCAGAGAAGTTATAAGTAAAGCTCCATACATAGACTGGGATACATTATGTTCACGTCTTCTCTATTCTGGAGCATACAAATACTATGATCTTGACACATTAATGAAGAAAGTGTTATACCTCAGATATACTAACTTATTTGATGAAAACATAGATGCTTACCTTGAAGGTTTAACAATTGTTCATAAAGATTGGAGAATAATCTTCAATGAGTACAAAGATCTTCCCAATGTTTTCTTTATATGTGATCCTCCATACTTCCATACTTATTCTATACAGTATGGAGATGAATGGACTCTTAAATATATTGTAGAAACCTTTGATGTCCTTAATTATCCATCTATTTACTTCAGTAGTGACAAATCTTATACAGAAGAACTTATAGAGATCTTGTCAAAAAGATATGGAGAGAAATTTTCTGTGACAAAACATGTTATAGGTAGAGGTTTAATTAATCCTAACACTCAGAAAAACAATGAAGTAATATATGTCACTTTTTCCATTAATGGAGAAGAGGAAGATAAAGAGGATAATAGTTGATGAAGGAACTGAATTTGAGAAGATATTCAACTTTGACGGTAATGGTTGGTTCACAACTATTACTGATAAAGATGGAGAACATGTAAGACCCAGAAAGAGACCAAGAAAATTTTTAGATCTCCCAAAAGCTAGGAAACCAAAGGAACCATTTCCGGTACCAGACGTCCAAGAACCAGAGAGACTTTTGATACCAAAACCTGTGGATGACAAATATGATCCAGATCAGTTCTTTCCAAAAATACCAAAGTTAGAATAAAAACTCCTTTATTTCTTTAGTATAATATAATAAGTCTATTAGTAAGCTCTGTTCTCGTTCTGTTCTGGTGTTTTGTCTTCCTTTCATGGTCTCGCATAATAAGATCATGAACTTTTTCTTGAGATACTCGAAGAGCTGAGGTAAGTTATCATACTCTGGGTATGTAGGAAGCATCTCTGCAATTTTGAGTGTTGTATCAGCAAGGATTGGACTGATATCGGAAAAGTCGAGATCTGGAGTAGAATAAGAAGGTAAGTCTCTTACATGTAGGTAGTCATTATATGCTTTACGCATGAGACTGAGTTTCTGGAGCACAACTATGAGACTTTGGTTCTGACGTTCAAGTTTGCTTAAAGTTCTCTCCAAGCTTCTGTAATAAACGTCAACCTCTTTAAGTGTTGATATTTTTGCATTGATCTCGGAGATCTTTTCTTGAACTTCACCAAGTTTGACCTTAACTGACGTTTGAGCTCCCATCATGTTTTCATCAAGGTCATTCTCTATGTCATCAATGATATCTTCCCATGGAGTCTTGTTTTCATCATTGATCTTAACGTGAACACTCATGAAAAAAATGTCATGTAAAGTATAAATGTCAGATTTTTACTCTTGAGCTTCTTCTCTCTGGATTGGCTCGTCTGTAGGGTTTAATGTGCCATCACGTTCGACCAGAAGGTTCTGCTCAGGTCTGTCAAGGATCTGTCTGTAGGTCGTGAAGGTTTCAACGAGTCCGTGGTAAGGAGTTTGGAGATCAACATCGACCCATGGGTGTTTGCGTAAGAAAGCAGCAAGGCTTTCACGCTTGGAGTCAATGACATCTTTCTTATTGGTTAATCCTTCTTCAAAGCTTAGGATTACTCCTGCAGTTGATTCAAGTCTTTGGATCTGGCGTCTGGAAACCTTGGTGAGTTGACTTATCTTCTCGTTTCCAAATACATGCAGGAGATATGCAGAAACTACTTCATTAAGTTCGATTAAACAAATTGGATGAAGATCAGTCATGGCTTTTGTAAAGCTGTCTTTTGTAAAGCAAGCTTTTTCAAAGCTGTCTTTTGTAAAGCAGACTTTTGTCAAGACGTCTTTTGTCAAGACGTCTTTTGTAAAGCAAGCTTTTGTAAAGCAATCTTTTGTAAAACAAGTTTTGTCAAGCAAAAGTATTCAATTTTGTGAGAAAATGCTATTGTAAAGCAAGCTTTTGTAAAGCAGACTTTTGTCAAGACGTCTTTTGTAAAGCAAGCTTTTTCAAAGCTGTCTTTTGTAAAGCAGACTTTTGTCAAGACGTCTTTTGTAAAGCAATCTTTTGTAAAGACATAACCGACGACCAAATGTCCCAAGACGGTACAACACCAGCTCCAGCATCACCAACACCAGATATGATGGTAATGATGATGCAGATGATGCAACAGCAAACCCGGCTTATACAGCAAATGCAGGAAAAGAAAACTTTCAATAAACCTGCAAAGAACTCACAAGATCTTGAAGCTGGACTCAATGCTCTCAGGAACGACTACAAGAGAGAGCAGATGACGTTTAGGAAGAAGGGTGATGAAGATTATGATAATGATCCGATCGAGGAAGACGAGATCAAGTCCACTGCATCCACAAAGACCCTCCAGGATGAAAGAGATGATGAGGGATTCCTTACCAAGTCTCAAAGACTCTTTGTCCTTGAGTTCTTCACGCTCTCTGCCTTGAGATCTATGAGGAATTGGAAAGGTCGTGTTCCAATGGGCTCCAACAAGCGTGAAATACTCAGGAGTGCAGTACCACTCATTAAGACAAAAGTCCAGCTCATGGACTTTATCCTTTCCGCTTATCCCGACGAGATCTAAGATCTGATCAGAGTAAAAACTTACATTTATGAGCTTAGCTCAGTAATAATTAGTTGTTTATTCTTTCTTTTCATACTTCTGTGCAAGGTTTCCACGGAAGAACTCAAGCAACATTTGGATCTTTCCAAGCTTTCGACCTTCTTTTTCGAGGTCATCCTGGTAAGCATGGAATGCATCAACGTGTGAGCTCGCGTAGAATGCAGCAACAACAACCTCTTCTGCATCTTCTTTGCTGGCAAGTGGCATGAACTCAAATCCTTCCATAAGACCAAATAAAAAGTGACAAAAATGTCAATGAGACCCACTCGTTGCATAGATGCTAAACCTGGTCCGGAGATGCAAAAGTTCTTCTTAACACTCATGTCTGACTATAGGGAGTACGGTCATGAAGAGGTCATACAGATCTTCGATCAGTGTGTACCAAAACCTGAGAATCCAGACGAACTCTTCATGAAAATTTACTTGCTTCAATGGAGAGATGAGAGAACAGATATGAAACTCAGACCAATACCAATCTTTCTAGGTTTCTGCAATTACCTAGAACAAGCATACCAGATTAAAGGGTCTGACACCATCTTCCTCCAAAAATAAACTTTATCGTTTATAATGCATCAGGATCTACATCTATTTCTTCTGCTTCATCCTCAATGTCGATCTCTTCGACAGGTTTGATAGCAGATTTGAGTAAGTTCTTACCCATTGTCTTAAGTTCAACTAGGTTATATTCTTTGTCTTTACTCTTTGTTGATTTCGTGAGATCTACATATAAACAATAACTTTTAGTCTTGTCAAGGTTTATTCTCGCTGAGAAATGGTCAGGAATGTTTATAGCTATCTTTTCAAACTTAAGTAAATTAGCTAAACCTTCATTTGTGTATTTCTGCTTATCGACAAAGATCATGATCGGACTTGCACTATAACCATACTTTCCTTGACGTAATGTTTGTGGTAAGCATATAAGTAGTCTCTTTGCTGTTTTATTTTGCTTCTTCACTTCATCTACAAACTGTTGGATCTTAAAGAACTTCAAATGATGTTCAGACATCTTTATATACCTGATAAAAAGTTCAGATAAAAAATAATTAGCTATATTTTTATTAGTGCATAAATGAGTCTTTCTTTGAGATTTTCTGATGAAGATCTAACTTTGGTAAGATCTTTAAAAGGTGATGAAAACATTCTTTCTGTCATTGATGAAGAAAAGAAATACTTCAGTAATGATGTAAAAATAGAGCTACTCATTCATACTGAGAAACAGTTTGTGATCGTGATCTTGAGTTAAGCAGCTCTGAACCAAGCGAACACAGACATGTATGGTGGCATATAATCTTCACCCGAGCCTGTTGGATTTGTTGTGAAAGTATGGACATGATTTCCTCCTGGTTCAGTTGGTCGAAAAGTCTTTTTTGCTGAATTGTTATAAGATGGAGATAAAACGTCATTACCAGCTTCATAGTCTGAGTTGTATAATGGGTGGTCTCTTAATGAGTGGCTATGGTCGCCAGAAAAGTTTGTAGTTCCTGTGTGCTTATGTGGTGGAAGATTTGCTTCTAAAATTTTCTTCGAACCTCCTGTCTGTTTTGAAGAGTTAGCACAGTATAAGAATTTGTCTACAATCTGTTCCCACGTACCAAAACCTAAAACACTTGCTGGATTTGTTGAATTCATTGACGTATAAATAGAGCCTATAGGATATAATGTTTGAAGTATTTCAGTCTTCATTGTTTGAAGTTCATGTTTAACATTTATAAATCCATCGCCATCTACAATATTTATATTGTTTGTTATTAAACCATTAGGAAAAGTAGGAGGATAAATATTTTGTTCAACTAAAGGTGTACCGTCTCTTCCTGTTTTTGTTACTTCTTCAATGTATGCATTAATTTCTTTAATCCTGATTGTTTGAAATTCTTCATGCACATGCTCTTTATCAGCTTTCCCATTAATTTTATCATTTACTTCCGACTTCTTTGCATAATTTTTCATCTACCATTCCTTTGCTTCTTCTGTATAACTCATTGCTTTTGTATCATAACGATTTAATTCTTCATCTACATATATTTTGTCGGTTTTATTGGCTAAATCAACAACCATATCTCTTAGGTTAGTGCGCATATCTTCATCACGCATGCTTGATGAAGCAATAGCCCAATTCAATATTATCTCATCAGCTCTAATAGTTGTGAAGAATTCATGTGTATGATTTTTGTCTGCTTTCTTATCTAACATTGCTGGTAGTTCATGTGTTTCAAAGTTTCTGACATGTCCTTCAATATTAGTGCATTTGTTATCTAAATTGTTAAGAGTATCTTTTACGCTTGTACTTGGATTCTCTAAAGGTGCACTTGAACCAAGGGTATAGTTCAATATTATGTCGTCTGCTCTAACAGTAGTGAAGGATTCATGCGTATGATTTTTGTCTGCTTTACTATTTAATGTAGCTTGAAGTTCATTTATATCGGAGATATTGTGTTTATGAGATTTCAAAACTTTGTTCATTGCGTCAAGTTCATCTTTGTCAGCTTTACTTTTAATAGCATCTTCAAAAGTTATTTTTGCCTTAACTCTCAACATAAATCTTGGTTCAACTAATACACCGTTAACAAAGAAACTAGAGGCATAAATTTCATTGTTATAACCAAATGATTCTGGTGCTTTACCTATGTCATACTGTACAGTACAGCGTATGTCATAACCTTTAGCACGAATGTATTTATATCTTCTTTCATTAACATCTTTCGTCTTCACTTTTTCACCCTGTGTTAAATATCCGTGGTAGTCCGTTATAATCTGTTCATCTGAACTTATATAATGAACATGGTTTTTGTCTGCTTTTTGTGAAAGAAGTTCAACAACTTTTGCTTCACTTATGTCACCAGTGCCACTTTCATTTATTTTTGTCAGCATTGCGTTCAAAACTTCATAAAGACTAACTACTTCTTTTGGTTCTTGAAACAATGAGCCAAAAGTCTTTCTTAACATTACATCTTCAACTGTTATGACTGAATCAATACCTTTCTCTTTTATTGTCTTAGCTAACTGACCTAAAACAACGAACATATAGTCTAAAATATTATCTTCAGTGTTAAACGCTATACTGTTTTCACGAATTGTTGTGTTTGTTGCTGTTAAAACTTCTTCAAACTCAGGATATATATTTAGTAGATTTTCAACAATTGTTTGAACCACTTGTCCTCCTTTTCCTTCTCCTTCTTCATCTAAATCTCTTACTGTCATTAAAGGATGTAAATTTATTGGTTCAATAATTCCGAGACGAGGGTTGTAAGCAAGTCCGTCGAACATACTTTTACGTTTGAGTGCCCAGTTAGTTAGTTTCTTTGTATTATCTGCTACTTTACCCCATAAATTTTTGAGACCGTCAAAGAAACTTCCTGTATTTCCATGCAATTTAGCAAACTCAACATAAAACTTCATGCTATCTATGCCACCAAGAAAAGTCCAAAGTGCGTCTATCTCACTTTGCATGGTTATAAGAGATGCAGTTGTTGCACCTAGGGATGCGACGGTTTTACGCCATGACCGTTTAAAAATAGAATAATACGCCATTCGGCCGAATAACAAAACAATACAAAATTATCGCCGTCCTTTTTTTTCTTTCTTTCTCTTTTTTTTTTCTCTCTCTCTTTCTTTTCTCTTTCCTCTTTTTACTCCTCTTTCTCTTTTCATCATTAAACGTAGAAAGATATATTAATATTATTTTAAAATTAAAAAAAAATAAAGAAAGTATAATAAGTAATTATTTAGTTATCGATATATATATGTAAAGTGATAATCTGAGGATAATCTGAGGAGTTTGAGGATAATCTGACCATAATCTGAGGAGGAGTCTGAGGATTAGACCGATGAGTAGTTTGAGGATAATCTGAGGAGGAGTTTGAGGATTAGACTGAGGAGGAGTCTGAGGATTAGACTGAGGAGTAGTTTGAGGATAATCTGAGGAGTAGTTTCAGGAGTAGTCTGAGGACTAGTCTCAGGACTAGTCTGATGAGGAGGACTCTAAGGAGTAGTCTGAAGAGTAGTCTCAGGAGGAAGATCTGAGGAGGAGTCTTATGAGGAAGATCTGAGGAGTAGTCTAATGAGGAGGGGTCTAAGGAGTAGTCTGAGGAGTTTGAGGATAATCTGAGGAGTTTGAGGAGTAGTCTGAGGATGATCTGAGGATAACCTGATGACTAGTCTAGGAGTGGTCTAATAAAAATGTAAAATATTTTCAAAGAAAAAATTCTATGAATTTTATATTTTAATTCTTAGCATTATACTGAATAAAATAAACATAAATATCAAAATTTGAAATTGAACACGCCAAAAAATTGATAATCCACATTCAATATTTTGTAAGTGGCGTACATTTTGAATACTCGCCATACGCCTGGGAGTTCTCAATTTTGAATTCGCCTTTATTTGGGCGACCTCAGAAAAATACGCCATTAAGAAAATATTGTATGAGATTTTAAATTTGAACACGCTCTACCTTAAGGAATTAAATTTATTAAGATATATTTATATATAATAAACGATTACTTAAAAAAAAGTATTTCATCGCTTATGTAAGTTTCAAAAAAATCACGAAAATAAAAAAATCAAGATTAAGATTTTATTTTTAATTTTTGAATTTCTCAAATGGCAAAATTTTTGGGCGAACAAAAAAAATGTACGCCCGGTCAAATGGCGTGTTTAACGCATCCCTAGTTGCACCTGCTGAAAATAAATCAAACAACCACCCTAACCAACTCTTACCTCCTCCACTTTGTTCTATTTTCACAAAATCACTGATATGACTTTTTAAGTATTCTTTCGTAAGTAATGTTCCATCACCAACAATACCAGTTGCTTTTGGACCATCTTCTGTGAATGCCAATGGTTTCTTTAACATAACTTTATCTAAGTATATTGCAATACCACTATTTTGTACTTGTTCATGACCTAATATATAAGCAAATGCTGCGTTTAAAGCATTATACAATGTATCTTCTTTAAATGTTAAATGACTGTTTTCAATCATTGGTATATTGAACAGTGTAGACCTTGGGTCAAAATGAACTCCATGGTCAATCGATAATAACCGTTTGACATGATATATTATAGTCTCTAATGCTTCATTAATATTTACCTCACGAGTTTCTTGCAAACCATTACTCGCCATACATGAAAACATATAGTCTTTATCAGTTGTGAAGAATGGAGCATCTAAGTAATTATTCTCAACTCTTGTCACACGATTCTGCAACTCTTGAAGGTATTGACTTATGTCTGTTTCAACAATTGTACCATCTGGTTGCTCGATAGGTAATATACCTGGACCAATGGTAATGTCTTCATCAGCACCTTCTTTATGTATGACTAAAGCGTTATCAGTAATTCTCAGAGAATATTCTTTATATTGAAGTACGCTAGACTTATAACATTCATATGCATATGGAACAACACTCATTCTTTTACTACATATAAAAATGATGTATTATCTACAATCGACTGATCCTAATAACTACGGGACAATACAGTTTCAAGCAGATCCTAACATGGGGCATCCAAGTAAGATAAAGATGAGAGTAAAAAGTGTCAGTACTATGGCGAACTTTATTGTTTGTGACGAAACAGATTATTTTGTCTTACAGTTAGACGAAGATGGAGAAGAAAAGGTGTGTACATTTAAGTCAGCTCTTTCATTTGATATGGATACTATTGTATCAAAACTACAAGAGATTGTAACAAAACAGTTTGATTATTATAACAAGAAAAAAGGTCAACATAATGTAACAGTTTCACTGAGTGCTACGAATCAACTTATATTTACGTCACAGGACAAAGGACATAAAGTCTATTTAAAAGATGCTTCACATAGAGCAAATCTTATTTTAGGTGCATATGGAATAGAACTACCTATTGTACATATATAAACTAAAAATGCCAAAACCACCTATGCTCAACTTCGGGTATCAGTTATATCTTCGTTCATCAATGTCTGTCATCTCTGGGTTCAATAATATTGACCAAGTTGATGATCGAAGAAAGATCATGTACAGATCTACATGTTATAACATCAATGAGTTCTGGATATCTGGTAAACCACTTATATGTAAGGAATCCTCACCATGGATAGATGCATTTCCATGGGAACTAACTAATGTTACGTTTACCTTAGTTGACTTCCAAGATCAGCCTGTTCGATTATTGTCACCAATGTTTATGGTGATAGAGATTAAACCAGATAAGCCAGAAGTTAGAGAAACCAATGATGTCAGTGATGATGATACAGAATCTTCGTACGATTATGATTACGATGACGATTAAAAAAAATAACGTATATTTTTTTATCGGTTATAAAAGACCAACATGCTCAATGCTATAAAAGGATTAGTTAATAACCTTTCACCAGAAGATAAGAAAGGTATGCTTGATATGTTTGGGATCAAAATGCCTAAGAAAGCTAAAGACATTACCAATAAATTAGCTCTGGCAATTAAGAATCAAGGAGGTACAGGAAGTGTAGCAGATATTTTCAAGAATGCTAAGAGCTTCTATGATGACTACAATGGTATCATGAATGTTCCAGCTTCAAATTCCCCAGTTGCTTTAGATCACGATCAGAGATCTCATAATAGAGCGTTAATGGAGATGCAACCAATATACTCAGACCCTCCACCAAAGATTGATGAGAGCGAATTAGCATACAAAGAAATACAGAATGCCTTTTACGTTGTTAAGAACATTAATGGTCAAAAACTTCCTGATGAGAAATGGTTAGACCCAATAACTAAAGCAGGAGAAAGATTCATTATGTTTAACATTGACCAATACAGTCCAAGAGGAAAAGATTACTTCAACAAGATGTTTCCAAGAGTTATGGCAAAGTTCATTGGACAGATAGACCTTTTCAAACAGAAGTGGACATTCTATTACGACTTTGATGAGAAGAGAAACATTTTGCGTCATTTGAACATCAATACAATGGGATCATTAGTTCATCAGTTACTTAATGAAGCTCCAATAGCAGAAGTACAAGAATTAGCATCTAAAGTCCTTGAATCAAACTATGACTTCTTCCTTTGTAGTATTCCTTCGTTAAGGAAGATCGAGATCTTTGACTATACAGCTTATTCAGATGTTGATGCTTCTGCTTTGAGAAAAGGAACGTACACACCATATAAACTCACAGCTGAAGAACAAGTTATGTTAGATACGATGAGAGCAGCAGGTCAAGAAAAGATCGCACTCAAGATCATCAAACAAAACCATTCAAAGAAGAGAAACAGGTCACGTAATGGTCAGCTTTGGACATGGACATGCAAATTACCTATTAACTTAGAGAGGTATCAGATCTTCAACGAACTTAATGCAGAGACAGCAAAGAAGATGATGAAAGATTCATGTTTCATCTACGCTTGTATTCAAGCTGGTGTTGACGAAGCAACAATTAATCATATGAGGGAAATCATTCGTGTCAAAGATTTTCCAATGTCAAAGATTAAGGTTATTGCCAAAGAAACAGGAATAAGGTTCCATGTCATCAAATACAACGAGAAGTATTCAAATCATTCATATACTTATGAACCAGATGAAGAACCAAAGATGACAGTAGAACTTTTATTAATGTATGACCACTACATGTTGAACGAAAAGCTTCCAATAAGTTCAATGTTCATCAAGAACTATGAAGATGTTTGTAAGTTGTGCAAGGATTGGACTTTAGAGAAGAAGATGTTAGTTAACAGAAGATATGAAACAAGGTATGCAATTAACTCAAAGTTAGTTACACCACTTGCAAAAGTCATTGAACTCTTGTTTGCTAACAATTATTTCGAACCAATTAGAACAGGAGAACTTTGCACATACTTCACAACGATGTATAATGAGAACCTTGAAGAAATGATTGACCTCACATACAATGAGCGTTATTGCGCAAGGATGAAGAAAGATTGGAGTTCAGAGACGAAGAAAGACATGAAGTTCCCAAGAGAACATGTTTTCTTTGCTGACTTCGAAGCATCAACTGATGGAAACATTCACAAAGCATACAACATTTGTTTCATGGAAGATGACGATGATGGTTATACATCAATTTGGGGAAGTGACTGTGCGTCAAAATTCCTCGAAGCTTTACCAGATAAGAGTTTAGTTTATTTCCACAACTTATCGTACGATGTCACTTTTCTCATGTCTCAGTTAGAAGAGATTACAGGAACTCCAATCATCAAAGGTTCACAAACGATGCAGATACAAGGAAAGTACAAAGGAAAACTTCTCTGCTTCAAAGACTCTTATGCAATCATCTCAACTAAGTTGGAAAGATTCCCTGAAATGTTTCACCTCACTAGTGGTGAAAAAGAAGTTTTCCCATATAATTACTACACGGAAGAGTTAGTTAATACAACTAAAGTTGGTAACATCGATGATGCCATGAATCATGTCAAAGATATTGAAGCTTTTAATGAGAACATTGAGAAGATTGAAGATTGCAAGATTGATGATGAACACTTTGACATGGAAGTTTATTCGTCATTCTATTGCGGTCAAGATGTACGCATTTTACGAGATGGCTTTCTTAAGTTCCGCAATGACCTCATGACTGAGTTTGAAATAGATGCTTATGATTATGTTTCAATAAGTTCTATCTCAAACAAACTCTTTGAGAAGAGAGTATATTGGAAGAACGGTAATCTCTTTGATCTTGCAGGAAAACCTCGTGAATATATTTCCAAGTGTATTCAAGGAGGAAGATGCATGCTAGCTGAGAACAAGAAGCAATACAATGAAGGAGAACTCATCACTGACTTCGATGCTGTATCATTGTATCCATCAGCAATTGCTAGACTTTACTGTTTAGAAGGAATTCCAAAAGTTATGACAGAAGAGATGAAGAGCAGTGAATACTTGTTGGAGCATCTCTTTGATGATGACCAAGCTGAACCAACAAAGGAAAAGTTCATCTCAGGATTTTACTGTCAGATCGAGATCTTGTCGATCGGTAAGAACTCAGCATTCCCATTGATTGTCGTCAATCCTGACATCAACCCTGACTTACATGTTGCCAGAAGTTCCAATACATGCTGCAAGATGTTCGTAGACCACATTACGCTTCAAGATCTGATCAAGTTCCAAGAGATCTCATGCAAAGTCATTGATGGATACTATTATGATGGAAAAAGGGACATGACAATAAGGAATGAAGTTAAGAAGCTCTTCGAATTACGTGCTAAGTATAAGAAGGAAGGTAATCCGATACAAGAGATCATCAAACTTCTTTTGAACAGTATCTATGGTAAGACGATATTAAAGCCCATTGACAAAAAGATTCGTTTCATCAAGGACAATAAGCTCACTGACTATATCATTAAGAACTATAATGACATACAGACAATAGAGTTCATCCCCGATTCCGAACTTTCATGTGTAAAGTCATTTAAACCTATCGTTCGTCACTTTAACTATTGTCCATTAGGTGTTTCAATCCTTTCTATGTCCAAACGAATCATGAATGAAGTATTCTTCACAGCAGAAGATTTGGGCTTGAAGTTGTTCTATCAGGATACAGATAGTTTACACTTGTATGAGAAGGACTTAGATAAGTTAGCAGAAGAATACAAGAGAAGGTATAACAGAGAACTCATTGGAAAAGCACTGGGTCAATTTCATTCAGACTTTGCAGAGATTACTGCAGGACATATGTCTAAGGCACAAAGATCTATATTCGTTGGAAAGAAGACTTACCTCGACGAATTAACCAATGACCTCAAGGAAATTGCTTTCCACTGTCGAATGAAGGGAATCACACAGGACGTAATTGCACTTACTGCAAACCAAATGTTCCCAGATGCGATACAAGTACATTATGACGAGAAGAAAGGTTTGTTCTTCCCTGAGAAAGTTGGGGAAAAATATAGCATCGTGGAATTGTACAAATCTCTTTATGAAGGTGATGAGATAACCTTTGACTTGTGCATTGGTTCGAAACCATGCTTCAACAAAAATAAGGACTTCACTATTTCAACGAAGTCATCTTTTGAACGTAAGTTAAAGTTCTAAACACTTACTTATTATTTTTCTTAGCTTCTTCCTCTTCTCTCAATTTCTTTGCAATCATTCGTGGATTCTTTGCGCGTCCAGCTGCTAATGCAGCTAATTGTTTCTCTGTGAGTTTACGCTTTGGTTTAGCTGGTTTTCTTCTTGTGTTTGTTCTTTTGGTTTGAGTTCATTAAGTATTTCTTCACGAAGTTCATTCTTGAGTGCTTCTCTGTCGAAAGTATTCTCAGTCATTTTGTTAGGAGTAAAAAATTTTATTAGGATAGAAATGACGTCAAAACTTTCACCAAGTGAAAAGCAATCAATCATATTGAATGAAGCTAAAGGAATACAACATCCATTATATTATGTTTGTCATATGAAGAATGGTTCAGTTCAAGTTAGAAAGAGAAAGGCACCATTGAATTCACCAGCTCCTGCCCCAGCTCCTGTTGTTCAAGAAGCTCCTAAAGTTGATGAGAAGAAAGAAGAAGAACAAGCATATACTAATAAAATGTTGTTAGAGATGATGACAAAGATATTAGAACGTAACAGTGTAGTTAATGAACCAAACATGGACCCAATTGAACGTGAGAAGGAAACTAAAGAGAATCAAGAATATGTTCAATCAATGGAAGAGAAAAGAATACACTTCGATGATGAACCAGAGCCTGAACCAGAACCTCCTAAACCTCAGCCACAAATAAGACGAATAATCCCAAGAATAAGAAGATTGTAAATTTTTTATAGCTGAGAAAGATGTTGAACGATAACCTCAATACATACAGTATTGCTGATTCCATCAGACAAGTAAGATATTATTTCGATCAAGTTGATGGGGCAGTTCCTATTGGAGATACTAACCATAGATATGTCCCAACAAAAGTGCCAGCTATGCCGACAAATACTATTGATAACGGTTATATTACATTTAACATATCACCACCTGGTGAGAACATGATTGACTTATATAATACGTTCATTAGTGGTTATGTCGATGGTGAGTGCATAATTACAACAGAAACTGAACCAGCTGATGAAAAAGTTCCTAAATATGATGGTGAAGTATATAAAGAAAGAGCTGCTGTTGAGAGCTCCTACAGGATCAAATGTTACAGCAATTAAAGCAATTGATACTAAATATGCTGGTGGCAAATCATGTGCACATCTTCCAGCAATTTGGTTGGGATACATTGATTCATTCTATGCTGTTGAATCATATCAATTAATCGCTAATGGTAAAAGTGTTTATACACAAGATAATGCTAGAGAAGAAGGTTACATTACTTCTACTGCATCTACAACAGAAGCTATTAAGAAAGTTGATGTATTTAGTAAGGCTAGACATAAAGATGTTTTCAATAGATGTGATACAGTTCGTTCTGGACAGATTATTGAGTTCAATAAACCAATTAGTGGTGCAACTACATTAAAGTTCCACATACCAATCAAGATTGACCTAAGAAGATTCCTAATACTTAATAACATTAGATTCCTTCCAGCGTTTGCTGGTAACTTACAACTTAAGGTTAAGTTCAGTATTGCTGGTATGGTTTGGACACCATTAAGTTATCAGGATATTCTACCATTTACCGAACATGCAAGCCAATGTTACAAGCTATATTCCAATCACTAATCACTTCACTCCTATCTATGAAGGTATCAAAGTTATTGATACTGTAACTTGGATATGCCGATAAGAGTACGATATCATTTGGTACCAAGTTTATTAAGTTCACTAAGAAGAATGCAAACTTCTTTGAAATGATTACATACTGTAACTCATTCTCTTTGGACCCTAACATCTATAGTGATTTGGTGACAAGATATTCGGCAAAGACTCTAAACTTCCCAATCAAAAGAATTGACTGCATTACTATGGATGGTTCAATGGCTAAAGGTGCAGGAACTCCTTGTACATTCACGGCAGCATTTACTCCATTATATGTGAACACCATTTATACACTATTTAAGAAAACACCTAATTATAACACTACCTATGAAAATCCACTGTTTGAACAAATTTAACTGAACTGCGGTGCATATGGTAACATACCTGCTGAGGCTCAAGCATCTAATGATCCAATCTTCTATGAGATGCAGGCAAATGCTACTAACAATAATAACGATACTGTTGGCTTCAACTATGATGTCATGAGGTCTATCACAACCACATCAGTCCCTCAATTTGGAATCGAGTCAAATGACTTAGGTCATTACCTATGTGGATTCCCTTGCGAAACTGATTATACATTCCAACAGGGTCAGTTATCTAACTCACCTATTACATATAAGCTTACAGTTAAGCCAACAGCAGAGTCTATTAAATATACTGAGAAACCAGTGTTATGCTTCTTACGTCACGTTTGCCTCTCCATACAGATTAAACCGGTGGGACCACTTATCGTACTTCTCGACGATTATGATTTATCAGCCCCTGCTAGTGAATAAAGGTTAGTTTACATATGAACGTTTATTTTTACACATATATGCGTACATATGCGCACCCGTATAGTGTCACTTTTCTGTCACTTTTTTCATTGTGCCGGTGACTGTAGCTGTAGGCTACAGGCGACGCAAAATGTATACTGTACTGTTAAACACATTTTAAAAAAGAAATATTTGATAATAATATTTAAAAACAAACACTCTATAAATATATTTATTAATCCTCTTCTTCACGAGGGAAATAAGACAAAACAGTTTGAGCTAATTCTGATATTTCGTCAGAATCATCATCAACAAGATCATAAAAAGTATTCATATACTGTTCATGGTAATAAATTTCGACAATAACATTGTCTTTTGTGTTACCCAATGAACTAAGTAGATTAATCAATCCTTTTAAGAACCATATAACTCCTTGGCTCTCTGCTGAATCAATTTGTTCGATTGTCTCCTCAAAAATGTCAGCAGCAATCATATCTGAAAGAACATCTTGTGGATCATGGATTGTCAATGCATAAAAGTAGTGTAAAAACGCTTCAACGCATTTAAATGTTCCACGAATTAAATTTGTTTTCAAAAAACCAATCATTTCGCACTGGCTAAGGTAAACATACATGACAGTCTCTGAATCAATTGTTTCTAGATAAAAAGCTAATAAATGGACGAACTCTGAACAAGTTTCTTCGGAACATTCTGAAATGATCAATTTTATAACTTGAAATTGTAATGAATTAATGAGATTCTTGCAATAAGAAATGGAATAATCACGTGAAACATTGCCAATCAGTTTAAAAAATGTGTAATTTGCTTTTTCATAATTATTTATGAGTCTTGGGTTTAATAAACTTTCAAAATGATCATTTAATAAGTTGAAAAACTCATTGAAGTCTGATTCTTGGATAATATTCATATTAATACTTAAAATTTTAATTGCACATTGATTAAGGAGGACAACGTACTCCTCTGCATTATACAATTCAATCATGTATCCTAAAGTCAACATAACTGATGTCATTGAACTAATTAATTGAGGAGTTTTTTCAATTGACGTATCATTCAATACATATTTGCAAATTAATGCTGTGTATTTATATGATGATCGAGGGACACCAGTTAGATATATTAAAACTGCTTGATGCATAAATTCAATCCATTCATCAACATCCTTTTTAATTGCATTGCGTAATAGTAAGACTGCGAAGAGATATAAGCATGGAGATGTCAAAAATGTTTCTTCTCTTGACATTAAAACATTTGCGTCGTTTGAATATTCTCTTTCAATGAAGAAATTGCCAATTATTGAGGAATTTTCAATTAGACTTGCAATAAGATTGATAACTGTGGTGATTTGAGTTGGTATATCTTCTTCTGAAACCATTTCACAAAAAATTTCATCGAGAAATTCATGAAATTTATCTGCAAGGAATGTGTTACATAGTTCATTTGGATACTGCAACATAATATTTTGAATTGCATTCGAGATAATTATAAGATCATCTGTATTTCCGGATTGAATTGAATGAATAAATGCTTTTTCAAGAGATTTAACTTGATTTTCATCATAATCCTGTGCTTCTATTGATGATTCAATAAAGCTTTTTACTTGTTTCTTTGATGGAATCTCCTTTGGCAAATCATCTTCATCTTTGTAATCCATAATTATGGAATATTTTATACTAACTTTAAAATTTTACGAAACTAACCCAAACTGATTGAGAATATTTGCTTTGAATAAGGTCATTCCTTAAAATCTCATCGAGAATCAAAATTCTTTATTTATTTACTCAATTGCCTCAACATTGATCCAAATTCCAATTCCACAATAAACTCATGTTCACACAAATATAAATATCTCTAAAGGTAATTCAAATCCTGAGAAAATTGTTGCACTATGGAAAAAAGAAATTAGGAAAAATGTGGTCTTCTCTTATACTTTTACTTTGTTATCATAAAGTTGTGTTAGTGCTCTGCTTTGAATATGAATCTAAATAATTTGAAAAATTATAGGGTTTTAAACAAGATTTGTTTGATTATTGAATGATTTCTTACAATTTATATAATAGGATAGTAATGATATTGATATATGTTTACTTTTAATTCTGGCATAATTCAAATCTAGAAACACATTGTATAAGAACGAAACCACATTGTTCCGATCAATATTTTGGTGTGGGTATTTAACTGTCCTACTCTTATATCATTGTGAAATCCTTTATTGCAGAGGAATAATGGTTAAAATCTTATAAAATCTGGCAGTTTTTATTTGCAATAAAAGTGTCATTTTATTTATCATCCTTCACTCAAAAGTTAAAAATGTCAATTGGAACAATGTATTTAATACTTTACATCCTCTCAGGAGTGTTCATGCTTCTTATTATTATAATTGTTATCATGTTTTGTTGTAAATGCAGTTCAAAAAGGCGAGAAAGGACAGAAGAACAAATTCGCATTATTGGAAAGAGTACAGAATCTCTTATACCTCCTATTTTTTATACAAACGATATAAAAGACCCTCTTATGCAAGAAGATCTTCATGATAAGGTTAATCACTAATTAAGGCTTCACAAAGGCAAACCCAAATTTTAGCTAAAAGTGACAGGGAAAAAACGTTTAGTATTAAAAAAAAGACCGATGAGAGCTTCGTTCGAAATATAGAGGGAACTGAGAATGCGCAACCATTCTCAGGGAATATTGGATGCTATTCCCGTTCCCTCTGTATGGAAAATTGAGGTTTTCAAAGGGAGTTAAAATAATATCAAATTTATACTAATTTACTTCAAAATACAAAAGTATTTGACAGCTAAAATTAGTTACTTTAGCAAGCCTATCAATACCCTTTTACGATTATTGTTACTTTTTCGAAATAAAAGTAAAAACAATTTATACTAATTTACTTCAAAATACAAAAGTATTTGACAGCTAAAATTAGTTTACTTTAGCAAGCCTATCAATACCCTTTTACGATTATTGCTACTTTTTCGAAATAAAATAAATTTATTATCAAAAACCTTTTTTTCTTAGTAAAAAAAAAATGTTATTTTATATCAAGTTTTATTCATAAATTTTTATAATGTTGTATAAATTTGAAGGTGGAAATCTGTAATAATTTTAATCTTGAAAAGACTTGGCATTCTCAACAATGAATTGAGGGGTATTGCATCCAAATTCTGTAATTTGCGTGAGAATACTAAGCTTGATTTCCATTGGGATACTTAATTTCGAAAAAATACTGGGTCATTCGTTTTTGAACCTTTGCTGCCTTGACAACTTTATCAAGTAGGTCATCTAAACCCAATTGAAGCGTATTTAAGTTTGCTGATGAGTTAACTATTAACGATTTAATTTTATCAGTGAGCATTATACATTTTTCTGTATCCAGTCTGATTGTAGACTTTTTTGGCTTTTTTTCAGATGGCAACGGATTTGGAATTTTGTCTCTGAGCCTTATATCTTGAGAAATTCTGTAATAAAATGAAGGAACGATAAAATCGATTAATTTCATCACAAATCGATCAAATCTGATGAAAATTGTTCCGCCAAAGTAGTAATATTTAATTTTTTTGTTAATCGATTCTGAAATGTTATTTGTGAGAGCTAAATTTTCATCTCTTTCAGCGGCTGTCCATTTTTCTTGGTTTGATATCCATTGATTTTGTATGTATTTTGAAAATTCTGGGAATTTTTCGGCTATTTCCAGAATTTTTTTGAACGTTGGTTCAATCCATTCTTTCTTGCCATTTCTGCCGTATGCAAGATAGTTCATTTTTGTATCTAATATCAATTTGTCTGAACTCTCAAATGCATAATCTTTCAAATTTTTTCTGAAACGCCCTCATTACATGAACTGCACACCAATGAAGGATAACTTCTGGAAAAGAGTTGATATCGCATTTTCGATTTCTTGTGCACAATCTGACATAAAATATTTTGGTTTTACTTTTGCCCAGTTAAAAAATGCTTGAGACAGAATGCAATATTTTCTGAAGTGTTTGGATAAACGACAAATTGAAAAATTGGGAATGCATGTGTATTTGGAAATTTGGCTGATATCATGTAAAACAACATTTTAAATTCAAGTAATGAATGGGTTGCATCAATAAAATGCTCTTTCACAATTTTGATTATGTCCAGAAATTTGAAAGAAGCATAATAAATGATTAATTTCTTTGGTTTGTTGTAATTATCGACATCGAAATAAATTAAATCTTTTGGTGACTCTTGTTCTTTGATACCCTTAAATAATTGAGTTGACTTGAATTGATTATCATCGTACTTTGAATACCTTTGATCTTTTTATTTCCTTTTTCCTGAATTGTTTTCATTTGATCTGAAGATGCATTCAAAAAAGATGGCCTGTTAAGTGGATCATCCAGATCAAGTTTTTGTCGCATTCAATTTGAGCCATTTTCGGATCACCCCCTGTTTTATAAAATTAATAAGTACCCGACGATAGCATTGTGATAATGTGTGGTATTTTCTTTGTCTCATCTTTGATTTGATTGTGATTATGTGTTCCATTATATTCTGTTAGGATATATTCTTCATCATCCTTTAGAAATGAGATACATGCTTCACATTATCTGCACTGCACCTGAATTTTAATTTTGTTCCCCCTAAATTTGGAATTTTTTTAATTGATATGGACAACCTGCATGCATTCGTTATCAATGACAGCTTTCATAGCATCTATATAAGATAGCCTTTCTTTAAGTTCGCATGGTGCATTCGATATGCATCAAAAAATGAAATGAAATTTCAATATCAAAAAAAGCACAAAATTTGAAAAAATTCACAAATCTCGGTTTCTGAAAGAAAATGGCCTCTTAAACTTTGTGCATATATTCATCTATAAGACACATTGTATCCATATATTATTTAGCCAACACAACTTATCTGGTATCGAGAAAATTCAAAAAAAGCACAAAATTTGAAAAATTGCTCGTTCTACATTCAAAATAAATTTCATTAATTTTTACGTACATATTAATGTACTTATCTTCTACATATATAATCTTCATTAGATATATACATGATAAATAAAATTCATAAAACATTAAAAATCAAAAAATTAGATGAACCTTGGCAATTAAACTTTATTAAATAATAGTTGTTTATAAATTATATTATATTATCATTTAATATTATTTTGATAATGAAGATTTTATTTTGCAATAATATAAACGAAATTTTTTACCTTATGAACATTTGATGGAAATATGCAAATTTAAAATAATAAAGAAAGCCGCGAGCGAAGCGATCGGCTTAGTTCGAAGATTTTGATTCAAATCTTTGCTGATCTGTAATTTGCGGAAGCCGCGAGCGAAGCGATCGGCTTAGGTCTAAGATTTTGATTCAAATCTTTGCTTATATTCCTTAAATTCTTTATGAAACTCGCAACAGTTCCATAAAAAATTTTAAATTCTAAACTGTCGAAATTACCGATCGGTAATCACACCCTTCACGGGCGTGTTGCTTTTTACAGGCGTGCCACTTTTAGCTAAAATTACCCCTACTCTCTTTGATCGTATTTTTCGATTTTTTCAAATTCTATATTAAATTCTCTTTGTATTTGAATGATCATAGTAATTTAAGGTAAGCAGTGTGTAAGTTTCTCCTTCAATAAACTATTTTGAGAAAATATAATTAAAATTTATAAAATTTATTCAAAATGTAAATATTTCATTACATATGATATTGCTTTTATACAAAAACTATTTCTAAATACATATATGGATTGAACTTCATGGTTAAGATCGTAATGTTGAAGCATGATGTTCCAAATATCTGAAATATCAAATAAATCATATGCACAAAGGATACTTATAACAATACTAGGAAGTTTTAATGAATAAATCAATTCAATTACTTAATGATTGTTGAGAATAATATTTGGAAGAGGATTTCAATGATATTTTATTTGCGAACACAAGAGATGGTTTGAACAAATTCCAAATTATTATATAATTCATCAGATATTTATCCGCTCGATCATCCACAATCATACGATCAACTGAAAAAAAAAACATAAAAAAAATGGGAAAGAATAAAAAGAAGAAAAAGGAAACACCTGCCAAAGATAAGCAATTTGAAGAATACAAAGCAGCATTCAATAGCGAAGAAGACCGTATTGGCCATTCAACAACAGTGATTCTTGCTGTTTGCGTTGGTCTTTATTTTATGGCTAACATGAACAAATTTACAGCACTCTGGTATTCTCCACATAACCCAGGATGGAGAAATGCTTTCAATTTTGTTGCTTTACTATCATCTTGCATGGCTTTTGGCTACTTTTTATCCAAGAGCATTGCCTTCGGTCTCCGCCTTTCAAAAAGGAACAGAAACAAAAAAGCCCAATAGAAATTAAGATTCAATAAAATTTTCATTGTTATTTCATAAATTCTACAAATTATATTACAAAAACAATAGACCTACCTATTCATTTCTTATCATCTCTATATGCATTATCAAAATTTGAATTAACAAAATGCAATTTAAAATTTTAAAGAAATTTGAAAATTTTACAAAGAATATACTTGTTTCAACATATATTATATGATTAAATCGAGTATACTGAAGCTGTACGTTATAAAAATTCATATCATCAAGAATTTTAAGAGAATAAATTTTAAAAATTATTGAACTAACCCGGTTTGATTTGAACAATGGCATTTATCATAACTATTATAAATATTATATCAATTACATATACATAAACATAAGTTACTTTCAATAAATGTGAGATGAAAAGCTTCTGTTTGATCATAAAGCTAATGTTTGATGTCAAAATAGGATGTATATGAATAATAACAAGATTAAGCAATAGATTTAAGAAAATTAAATTCATATGTAAAATTCAGTGTCTATTATACATAATTGAAATAGAAAAGTCACTTAATATTAAACATAAATAATGTATATATCTAATTTTTATAAAAAATCTATTAAAAATTTTTTTAGTAGATAGTTCCAGCTTCAGCATCATCATCAGAAGATTCAGAGTTATTCTCATTCTTATTGAGGTCGATCAGTGGTGAGAAGTTAGAAGGCTTGAAGTCGTTGATAGATCCATCGACGAAAACTCCGTTTTCTTGGCAATGTTTGATATATTTGCACCAAACCTTGTTTTCTGAGAATGTATCTGCACAGCCAAGTACGATCAAACCGTATCTTGCTCTTGTCAATGAGACACATAATCTGTGCAAGTCCTTGACGAAGCCGAGATCGTGCTGGTCGTTGGCTCTAACGTTGGAGAGAATAATGAAGTTCTTTTCTCTGCCCTGGAAAGCGTCGACAGAAGCAATTTCGATTTCATCAAAGAAAGATTTGTCCGTAATCTTTGCGCAGAGGGCTGGTAATGTCTCAATCATGTAGATCTGCTGTCCTGCGTAAGGAGTGATGACGCCAATGTCAGATGCTTTGACACCACCGAGATACATTGCTTCAAGAAGGACAGCGACGGCGCCAACCTCATGGCGGTTGACGTAGGAGAGGCCTGACTCGTAGAATTCCTCCTTCGAAGGGATGTTCCAGAAAATTAATGGCAATTTTGGATTTGGCCACTTCATGAACTGGTTTGGCCATGTTCTATGTTCCGCTGTGACACCGTCCTGAAGCATTCCGCTGTAGAAAGCTTCACTTGGGAAGGCGGATAATCCAGGATGCATTCTGTACTGAGTACGAAGGACCAATGGTGGATACCGTTGAGGATGAGGCGCTGCATGAGAGGAATATCGTATCTGGCCTTGACAGCTTGCCTTGAAACAACGACAGGACCCAATTGTTTGTGGTCACCGACGAGAACGCATTGGCGAGTTCCGTGGACGAGTGGGATGAGGAGATCTGGGTCGAGGCATTGTCCGGACTCATCGAAAATGACGGCTTGGAATTTAATGCGGCCTAATCTTGCACCACCGGCACTTACGCAGGTCGTACAGACAACTTCGGACTGGCGAACGACATCACTCTCCATACGGGTGATGGATTTGCGGGAAGCTTCGTCTTTGTCGTTCTCAAGTTTGGTAAATTCTTCTCCGAACATTGTACGTGCGAGATTCTTAGTTGTATACCTGTCAACGTCGCCTGCAACTTCTTCTCTGTTGCTCGAGAGGACACGGGCGACCTTAACGCCTGTCTGAGCGACTCTTAATGTTGCGAAATCTGTTGCAACGTTGGATTGAGCGCAGACGAGGACAGGGGAGATTCCATTCTTGACGAAACTGAGAGCAAGAGCGGCAATGGTCGTTGTCTTGCCTGTTCCTGGTGGTCCTTGTAATAATGTGAAACGATGTGAGAGAATGAACTTGATGGCGGTCTCCTGGGATGGGTTAAGCTTCTTGAAATAGGCTGGTGGGAGTTCTGGGATCACTGGATGTGAGTCTTTGAACTTATTGCGGACTTGGAAATTATCTGGCTTTCCAAGTATGCATTCTGCAATGAAATTGTCCATCGGCTTCCTCTCTGTATCGAATGCAGCAAGGGCCGCCTTCTGGCGATCGTAAACGAGTGAATTAAAAACGTTCATAATCGTTAATGGATTTGGAGTTTCGAAGAAAGTAGATGGAATTCCGAATTTGATCTCAATTGTCATGTTCTTGTTGCGCTGGACGACTTTGGCTGTCTCAGTAACCTCATTTCCGTCTAAATTTTGAATGAGCTTGACTGTTGAGCCAAGGCTGACATTACGATAAAGTCCTGGTACGGCCTTAATGGTGCAGTGCTGATTATCTTTCCAAATTGGGTAAATACCGCCGAAACTTTGTGCATGCTCCAAAGCTTCGTTTTCTTTGTGTTCAATTTCGACGAAATCATTCATGATCCTGCAGAATTCCGATGAATCCCTATAAATAGTCTTGGCACGTGAAAGTCCATTTATTGTTTCTTCATCTTGAGGAGTTTGACCGGCAAGAGTTCGTTTAACGGACTCGCAGATCTGAATGGCCTTCACTAATGGGATTTTCGCGTACTGATCTTGAAGTGGTGGAGGAATAACATCATGAATAACGTCGCCGTTTGAAATCAAAGGCTGGAATGTAGAGTTATCAACACCACGTGAAATTAAAGATTCGTGGAATTGGCAAGGAGAACGGCAGGCGAGGAAAATTTGTTGATTTGATGAATGAATGAAGCCTAAGCGAAATACGTTTTCAGAACCACAAACATAGCATTTAAGTGAAATTCCAGAGAAAGGATTGCATTTTGGTAATATGATTTTGTCTAAATGGCACGTTCTAAGATAGTGAACGAGGTGGCTTTGTAATGTATCACCCTTGCCATTGCAAAAATAGAGTCCTGTGGCGGCGCATTGAGCTAATGAGCCCTCTGCTTCGCAGCCGCAATACTGACATTTTGGTTGTTGAGTCATTTTGGTCTTATTTGAATGAAAAAAAAAATCTCTATAAAAAAAATTTCAATAGATTGTTTTGTATCGAATTAATTTTTTGACTAAATTCTCTGTATTGATCATTAGAGAACATATTGGGATTGATAAAATTGTGGTTCTTCGATAATGATTTTTATACAATCCAAGTGGAAAAATTTCACCTTTTCTCAGTAAAATGTAGTTAAATTAACTGCTCCAATGATTCACTATTGGAAGATGACCTAAACATTGCAGCTCTGCTGATGTATTACCTAAAAAATGTACAATAATTAATACGTTTTTCATTATCATTTTGATTTCTTCTGATTTATATATTGAATAATGCATAAACATATGCTGAAATAGATAATACATAGCTTAAATCATCTAGAAATATTAATATACAAAAATCTAATAACTATTGATAAATTTAGCATTGCATAACATATCTTTTTTTAAATGCGCATAAAAATGTGAACTATATCCGCTCATTAAAACTATGATCGGCTACAGAAAATAAAAAAATTGAATAAAGTTCATTATTGAAAGACATATCACGAGGATTCCACTGGTATTTTGAGGATTCTACATATTCTTCATACTTTGTGATAGATAAAACAGTTATAAGACATGGAAGCAATTTGGAAATATCAACATAAAAGTGACAAAATTACACATTTATGATAATTTCATATGATTCAGATGGAAATGAATTTGAAGGATTTGAAGATTTCGATCCATCAAAGCCACTTACCAGTCAAGAAGTGTTTACTCCCATTGATAATTCAAATAAAAACGAATTTGCCCTACCATTGCCAAAAAATAGAGTTAAAATGCCAGCTCCTCCCGAACCAGTCAAAGTAATTCAACCAACACTTGGAACAGAAGTTCAAAGTCAATATACAAAAACAGATGAAATCATTGAAGTAAATGCCGAAATTTATCATCAAATGAACCAACAACTTGCAACAGAAAACATGATTATCCGAGATAAAAGTGTTTTTAATGGTGTTGGTAGACAAAGATACAAATCTCAACTTACTTATCTTTCCGCAATAGATATTGCTTCCCGAGGAGAGGCTGAAGCAATGGCAAAGCATATTACACGCGCCAGAGTTAATTCTAGGCAAATGTATGGTTGGTAATTTTATTTTATATCAACAACCACTGAATCAGATCATACTAATCAGAAACAAAAATACCTTCTAGAGAAAGCTTTAACTTGAAATATTTCACAAAAAAAAATCGAATTGATTTCCAAAACGTGCATATTTAAATTGCTTTTCATAATATTACTTAGAAAACATTACACATTTCTTGTTTTATCGCTGTTACAACTACAAAACCAAAAATCATCCAAATTCCGAAGATTTTTTTTTTGTATTGAACTATTTAAGTACTCAACAAATACTTACCATAATCCAACACAATTCGAAACCAATTACATAATATTTTGTTTGAATTCATAAAATTTAATTTTGAATTTCAAATTTTTTTTTTAATTTATAGTTCTATTATAATCTCAATGTTAAAAAAAGAAGACGGATGTACTCCTCTTCATATAACAGTCGGGAACAATATTAAACATCTGTAATGCTAAATTTAAATATGGATGTACCCCTCTTTATATAGCAACCCACTGCAATTGCTCAGAAGCAGTAGAAATCCGTATTTCAATTGATGTTGACATCAATGCTAAAAATGAAGATAAGAATATACCTTTTAATATAGAAAACTCGAATAATTGCAAAGAAATAGTAGAAATTCTTTTCCCCTGTTAAACCTGGCTATATCTTTACTAAAATTCATTCTACAATATCAAGAAAATGCTACTGAACAGATAATTTAAGGAAAGAATATCTTTATAACTAAAAAAACAATAATATAAAATTAGACGTAAAGTCTTCTTACAGGGCAATCGAATTCCCTATTATATGGTTCACCTTTACAGAGGTATAAGTCCATGTAACAATAATAGAAGTATAGATCTGTTGCTATTTTCTTTGCTTGTTTCAAATTCTCCATTGCAACAGCTGTGTCCATGAAACGAGTATGAAGGGCGTGAAGATCTGTTATCTTATAATTTTCACTGCATCTTTTTGGATGATTTCTCTTACATTTTGGTAATTTATCATTCCAAAATTCAGAATGGTTGAAAGCATACGGTTCTTCGCCAAACATAAGGCTTGAGTAAGTATCTCTCTTAGAAACTCCTAACCATGGTCTGAATTCAAGTGTTGCTTTATCATCTTCGACTGTAATATTTTTCACCCAATCTACGCCATGATCTATAATCAACTTTGCTCCGTATCTTGATAGCAAGAATCCTGTGCCACCTTGAATAAACCATCCTTGTAGACTATGGCCAATAAAAACAGATTCGTTCAAAGGTAGATAATTTTGCTGCAAATGCTTAAGAATATGTTCCATATTGTCAATGTCAATAGGTACATCATCTGTAAGTGACCAGTAGTAATCATTAGTCGTATTATAAAGAAAATATTCTAAACCGGTCATTCTTTTGGCTGCACGATCGATATTTTGTTGTGGCCAGCTGCTGGAATTACCAGCATATACAATATATTTATGGTATGGCAAAATGAAATTTAATTTTGATTTATTTGGGTTCTTTGATATAAATGCATAGTTATGTGGGGGTTGAAGCTTATGAAGCCAATTGTTATAAACAAAATTAACGCGCTTTGGATTTCCTGTCGAGACAAATCCGAAGAAAATCGATGGTTTATAAGTGATAGCTGCCCTAATTTCTGTTGGGAATAGAAACTTTAGAGGTTGAACAAGAAGACCTATAAGAATAACAAAATACGTAAACTTGGATGGTCTACGAATTCGTTGCATCTTTTTCATCCGCATTTTTTTTATAAAAATGTTCTTTTCTTACATATTGATCAGACTTCTAGATTAATAGCTTTTACTATATGCATGAGTATAGATCAAGCTACTAGGGTGTATATATGACAATATTCAATTCTTCTTTTATGTTAAAATCTACTTCAAATTTGGGTCTTATCCACAAAAATGGTTTTGTAGTTGCACATCATATGGAACTATGAATCGATTAAACTATTGGAAAGAAACGTGTTTTTTTAAAAACATTTAAAAATTATTATGCTATTTTTGTTATATAATTGACTTATTTTATGAAAAATATTATAGAATAACTAAAACAAAAAGCATCTGTCGATTTAGAATACAAGAAAATTTCTTTATTTCCCTATTAATTTTTTATCTTCAAGTTTTTTAACCTCATTTTTTCAAAAATATTTCGAAAATTATAAAAACATAAGTATTTTCTAAGAAGTTGCTGAGGCATTTTTCAAAATCAAAAAAATTTGGAAAAAATAATCAAAGGCAACTTTAATCCCAATGTCCAAAGCAATAGATTTCAGTCAAAAACGAGGCGACCATTTTCAATATTGATATCAATTTTCATCAATCATTTAATATCGATTGTTTACCTCTAATTACACTACGTATCATTGAATTCTAATATACTCGAACATATTATAATTAGCTACTGAAACTTATAAACATAAAGCGCAAATTAACAATAATCCAACTATCATATACAGCTATTATTACTATCGTAAGAATGAATGATTAATAGAATCAAAGATCTAACGATTTATTTATCATATTCCCAATTTTTTTTTTATCTCAAATCATAATAGATGTATATTTTAAAAGCAAACATAGAAGAAAAACGAAAAAAGTGTTTCCTCAAAAAGAATTCCTTAAAGCAACCTAAATAATAAAAATTTACTTTCTTAACATCGAATTTTGCTTTTCTTGAGCGATATTTTCACCTAAATTTCATAACACAATAAAATTACTTCATTTGTAAGCATTTTATAAATATTTTAATATCTGATAAGATATCGCGAGAATAACCCAAGCCATTTTATAAGTCTATACATACTATTACTACGCTCCGCATTCCGAGCATAATGGGCAATATTTTTATTGATATCTTTGTTGCCGAAGCAGTTCCTCTCTATTAGGATCACTACATTGACTTTAATATAGAAACTAATAAACACATAAGGATACCATCACACCAACATGAGATTTTATCAAAATTTTGAACAAAATTTTTTGGGAAAAGTGTCAATGATCGCATCTCGTAAACCCTTAGTGTTAGCATTTGGTTGGTTAGGTGCAAAACCATACCATATGAACTCGTTTAAGAAAATTTACAATGGAATAGGATTAGAATACAAGTCAATGGTTCAATCTTATATGTCCATTTTAAATCTCAAAGATGACCATAAAAAATTTGAAGAAATGTACGAAGCTGCCAAAAATAGAGATGTTTTGTGCCATATATTTTCATTAAACGGCGCTTCATCTTTTCTCGATTCATTAATGGAACCAGATTGCATTCACTACAAGCCAAATATCAACGTTAAAGCTATAGTATGGGATTCATCACCAGGAACATCGCCTAAAAACATCTATCATAAAGCATTTGCAAAATCAATTTTCCCTAAGTCACCATTTTTGGCAAATGCATTGTCTGCAGTATTAATTCCACCATTTAATCTATTTTTGAATCTATCAAAGAATCATAACGCGAGAGCTCAATATAAAATTAGTTCTGCTTACGCAAATCCTCCAACATGCCCACAGTTAAGCTTATCATCAACTAAAGATTACATTATAAAGCATGAAGATGTAGTTAGATACATAGAAAATGCAAGAAAAGCAGGAGCTCATGTAGAAGCAAAGTTTTGGGAAGATTCCGATCATGTTATGCTATATCATGATCATAAACAAGAGTATATCAAGATTGTACAAGATTTTGCAAAGAAAATTTTCCCTCCATCCAAATAATTCGAAATACAAACAGTTTTGACACAAATTTACTCTCGTTTTATTTGATTATTAATTAATTTACCACGAAAACATTATTTTCCATAATTTGATTTTATATTTAAGTTTTTGAAACAGATTTATTGATTAAAACTATCTAATAATAAGTAAGTATACCTTTATTTTTATTAGATCAATGGTTAATTTTTGCCTGGATGCCATTCACTAAAATCTGGCTTCTTTGCAGGCTTTTCATCCTTCTTTGGCTTTTCTTCCTTCTTTGGCTTATCCTCTTTCTTTGGTTTTTCTTCCCTCTTTGGCTTTTCTTCCTTCTTTGGTTTCTCCTCAGCCTTTGGGGCCTCTTCCTTCTTTGGCTGTTCCTCTCTTCTTGGTCTATTTTCTCTCTTTGTCTGGTCAATGATGAAATTATTGCTACCAAATTCAGTAGCTTCTAATGTAACTAAACTATCCTTTAATATTTTGAATCTTCCATTCTCTTTCTTGATCTCTAAGTTCTGGACGTAAAGGTATGAAATTTCTCCAATAACCATTTTACCCTTGAGAACAAGGATTGACTGATCGCCACTTGGTGACTCATGTGCACTCATAAGGCTAATTCTTGATGTGTTAGGAATTGTAACAATCTCTTTCTTTTCCTTATAGATTCCAACTGATTCACCTCTAGAATCTAATCTGATAATAGTAGCCTCATCGTAGTAAAATAAGTTTAAAGATGAACCGTTAACTGTAGTTTTAATATAGTTCTGAATGAATGTTTTTGTTTCAGAAGCGATACTCATCGTTAAAATGAAGTAACAAAAAAGTGACAGACAAATAGTCATATAATAAAGTTAACGGTCACCTCACCTAACTTATGAATTTTGGCAAAATTGTTCTTCTCATCTACTAATATTGTAGTCCAAAATATAATAGTTTTTTTTGTTTGATGAAAAATTTTATTGTCTGACTAAAATTTTGGATGTCTTACAAAATCCTGATTGAATAGTTCTATGTAGTATAAATACATTAATCGAATATTCAAGACACATTACAAAATCATGACAATTGTTTAAGACGTGTATAGCAATTAATTGATCCACAATCAAATTAAACGGCACTATTCTTATCTGTAGGTGAGTAAATATTTTTCTTCACTGTGATGCTAGTTGTTCATGACTTTGTAAACTTTTTATTGAATTATGCTGTCTTATTTTATGTTCTTCATAATATAATGATTTCAAACATATGTGGATATGTGTGTCAGGCAATTGCTATAATCTGGTGCATTTGAATGAAAAATTGCGATATATCTCAAATAGTTTTATCAAAATAATGGGCAAATCTTTTTGTATCACATAAGCATGAAAAATTTTGATACCAAAAAACAATTACCATATTGATTCAAGATCTTTACCATTTACCATCGTGCATCTTTTGTTCAGCTGTGTATTGAATTTGTTCAATCTTTGGTCTTTCCTCTAAAGAGTATCCAATTCCCAAATAGCATATAGCCCATTTCGTAAACAGTGAAATAATTTTGATATAGTTTTACTGAGTTGGAAGAAAAATGATGCTAAAAACATTTAAATTGATATTATGAATGGAGTATCATTTTTTCACAATTCCACATCAGTGTATATTTTATGCAAACAGATTATTCGGATTTGCTGGGTCAGGATTATTGTTATTGTTCGTGGAATTATTATCTGTTGTCTTGTTAACATCTGGGTTATCTGGCTGTATTGGAGGATCAAATGGTCTTTCACAGCCATCCATCATGCATTCTGGTTGGAGTTGAAGTAATCTGTCGATCTCTGAATCGGCTACTTGAAAATCACAATCTGTTGGATATGTCCAATATCTGTATTCGTAATCTCCATTTGTATATTTGATCCAATAAAGCTTATTGGATTCAAATCCTCCTGAATTAAATTTATATTTGGTAGTGTAATAAATATTTAGTTGCTTTTCAAGAGTTTCATAGCTAATATCGAGTTTCTTAAAGTCATTCCAAACTTCAACTTTACCTGGTTTGTCTTTATCATAATTTTGTCCAGAAACACTAAACCATGTCAACCAATTACCAGATTTATGACCTGCAAATGATTGATATTGCAAAATGTGCAATGGAACTGGGCCAGGAGGTGGAACAGCAATTATATTTGGATTTTTTTGACTTATGCCACGATAAAGGTTAACTCCCATTGCTTGATATGTGCTTCCCTGCTCATCATATATGGCACCGCAGAATGTTGTTTTGAGCAAATTTTGACGAGTAACATGAAGTCGATGACCAAGAGTAGATACACCTTCATCCCAATAGTAATACATGACAGATGTTGCGGAAGTAGCCTTAAATTGAAGGCGGTTCAAATTCGATTTGGAACATCCAGTATATGCCTCTGACGAATAACATTTCTTTGAAGAGCTTGGAGTATGAGAAACATCATTGTTTTGAAGCATATATGCAGCACATTTGCAAACATCTTCGCGTTTAGAATTATCTATTGAAGTATCCTGTAAACCATTAAGATAACGTAAATAGTTAAGTACTTTCAATGCATTTGTAGAGTCTGTAGTTTCATCATATTGAGGAATTGCACAATTATCCGCAGATCTTGATAAAGTAGGATAATAAGTAGCGTAATCTTCAACAAGGAAATCGGTTTGAAACCTTGAACATACTTCGGAACGCAGATTGTATTTAGAATGGTTATATGATGTTAAAGCTAAAATAAACAATGACATACAACTTTTTTTTGCTACAGTACTTATTGAATTTTTTGAAAAATATAATTGTTAAATAGAATATGAGTTTTATAATTATAATAAGAGAAAATAAATAAAATGAACTCGAAATGCCAAAAAGGTGACAATAATAATTAGAAAGTTGGATAATTATGCTAAAGAAGGTTCTACAAAACAAATTCTTGCAATAATCGGAATTTTGAGAGTAAATTTATGAAATCGGCTTTAAAAAGATAAATTTCGATGTACATTGTTTAAACAATCAATCAATATGAATCGTTAAATCATAAATTGAATAGTATTCAAATTTATGAAGGCAACAAAAATTTCGTCTAAAATTGATGTACCAAAAAAGAGTTGAAAATCAATAACCAAAATAGATGGGATTAATAAAAATATGATGAAGACGCGCCCTTAATAAGATTTCAGTCTTCGAAAAAGATTAATCATCGAAGAATTACAATTAATTTAATTATTTGTGTTAATCATTAAATTCTTGTTGCTTCTGTATGCTTAATAATTCTATAATGACAATAGCAATTTGTAAACTATTACATTATTTCCAATAAATTTTGAAGTTATTACCATAACCATAACTTTTTCTTTTAATATTTAAAGAAATTAATTTTTGAGAACTAAATCCATACGATCATTATCGTTGATTAACAAAAGTTATATTTTGTATTGAAAATGATTATACGATCATGAATCTCTTTTCAACTCACAATACTAATTTTCATTTTTTAATCCACTTTTTATTTTATATTTTTATAATTTATGAAACCAATTTTGTATTAAAAATGATGTGAAATACAATGTTGATATTTATAAAAATTATCCTTTTAAATAGTTTATTTTTTGAAAGAAAAAGAAAATTCCCAGATATTATAGCACAAAACTTGGTCATAATCATATCAAATATAAACTCGTACTTTACTCTCAATTATTCCATATCATTCAATCCATTTTTTTTAAACTAAAGGTTATAAATATCTTATTATTCTCTATTATAATTTCCCTATAATATCAAAAACTGTATTCAATTTTTATAACGTTCAAATTAATAAAATTCAATAATTTAAATGCACTATGATTGACAGTAAATTCTTCCTTTTTATGAGTTTTTTTCAATATGCGTTCTTTCAATTCAACCATATATAACATTTCACATGTATGGTCTTCAAGCACTAATTTTTCCCCAATATTTTCAAAATTTATTTGAATGATTATATAATTCGTTATTTATTTTTTTTCTGAGATTTTATCAATTTTAATTTATTTTTTAAGGAATGGCTGCGAATCAACAAAATCCGACTGTTTCAGCATCCATTTCTACAGAATCAACTAATCAAGCTCTCGATATTTCGAAAGGCACTAAGTTTATCGATGAAACATTTCCTTTATTTTCAACAATGTTTCAACAAGTTAAAATCCCAATTCCTGTTGTCTACCCCTTCCTTACAATATTCTTCGTACAGGTGCTTTTCGTCTCCGTTTGGCCTTTTTGCAGATATTGGGACCAATACGAATCACTTCCCTTATTGAAGTAGCTTAAAACCATATTATTTTACGTACCGCACCCAACAAAGCCTATAGGATTTCTTGTAGTTTCAACAGTTATCTTCGTCATCAATTTGATCTCTATGATAATGATTCGATTCCAAATGGGCTATTATAGGGTCAAGAGGAAATTCATAAAGTTCTTAAATTTCCCAATTAGATTCTATTTCGAAACAATCCTTGTTGCTACCCTCTGCCCAGTTATTATCGGCTTGGGTGAGTCTTTTTATGCAATTGCAAAAGGCGACAGAGATCCAAGGACAATAATAGCTTTTGTTCTATTCATTCTTTCAGATGCATATGAATCATATTCTTTCACAATGGTTCAGGAATTTGCTGCAAAATCCGTTTGGATTAATATTTCCCCGCTTTTAAACTTTGATCCAACAATCATGACACTCGTTATCATTACAATGAATGTTATTCTTATCCCATTCTTCGTTTTACTTCTTTTCGAGTATTGGGCATTTTTATTTGCATTAGTCATTCATTTTGCTATTTTTGCCTACCTTATGGGTTACATGCTCATGAAAATTCCATTTATCGATCTGCTAACAAACAGTATGGGTGTTGGGTGGTATGTTGGTTGCTTACTAGCAGATGCCATCATGTTTGTTGCTACATTCTATCAGAACATACACTATGCAGTTCCACTACTTGCCGCTTTGGTAGGTTTCATGGGTACAATTCCAGCTTTTATGATATTTTTCATTTTTCGTGAGAAAAGTATCGTCAAATCGATAGCAGAAGAAATTAAGAATCAAGATGAAGCAAACGAGTATTACACACAACTCGGAATCGACACTAATCCCGATAAGGCTTTATTATATCTCAGACTTGCTTTCCAAAACTGTCTTCCGAACTTCTACAATTGGACATTAATGAATTTTATTGTGGATCATCATGAATCTGAAACGATTCTCGCTACAAGTTTACAGATTTTGAATTTCTTCCCAAAGGAAACACGCCTTCAGAATAAAATCCAGCGTATTATCCTTAAGAGGAGGAAACTGAAACCATCAACCCGCTTCCTTCTTTATCAAGTTGATGCTGTGAAAACATTAAGACAATTCTCAGTTTCAACGGCATCGAAACTTAAACTGATTGAATTAAAGACAATGAGCCGCCATTGCGAGATGCTTACCAAAGGTGCGATAGACAACTCCGCACTTGAGCCACATTATTTTGAACAACTTGCTGCATCTGCACAATCTGCTCGCGCCATCTGGAAAGAAGCTCTTTTAGGATCACCAAACAATCCAAAGTTCTGCGAAGAATACACAAGATATTTGATTGAATGCGAATGCGATTTCCCAGAAGGCCTTAAAATGAAGCACAGACAGCAAGTTATCGAAATGGGTAACAGTTTCTCTGTCGATCACTCTTTCAGATCCATGGTTGTTGCATTTCCGAAATATCTTACCCAGAAGATCCTTGATTTACAAGGCGGTGTTATCAAGAAGAAGCTTAATGATCCAAAGGGAAGCCAAAGCAACAGCACCAACACCAACAGTAACAGTCAAGGTTCATTCCAGTCAACAATGAATGACGAAGCTTTAGATGCAGAACTCGAAGAATACGTCGGCAAACAGACTATTACACTCTCAAGAACAAGACTTGCATTGCATAGAACTCTTGAAAACAAACTTCCAAGGTCAATTAAAGTTTTGGTTCCTGTTGCTACTTTTGTTGTTATTTACGTCATTGCATGCTTCGTTTTTGGCAACGTTTCATCAAGTATGATGCTCGAAGATATGGTTCAGTCCATGGACCAGCTTGATTCAATTTCGAAGACAAGATTCTACCTTGCTCTCTCCAACATCCACATCATCTTTTCATATGCCAAAGCCAACGATGTAATGGATAAATATATGGAAGTTTTGAAGGGAATCCAACCAAAAGATCACTATCTTTACGTTAACTTATTTGAAAACCTCATCGTCCCAACAGTTAATCTTACAGCACATGCTTCAAAGAACCTTGACCAATTCACAGAAATTTTATCGGATTTGGCCCTTAAAGGCACAGATGTTTTCAAGATTGCTAGCGTTCTTATGAATCCTGAGCAATTGGTTGCATCATGCATGTATACTCCTGCACTTCCAATTGCACCGGGAGTTACAATTCCTTACGCCCTTCCTGTTACGATTAACGGCCAACCAGTTTATTCACCTGCATCACTTAGTACTTTAATGGCAGGAACACTTGTCAATCAAAGAGAATTTTCTGGAGAGAAATCAGCCAAATATTTGATGACAAGCCCGGCCACATGCGAAGTGTCATTGAATTTCAAGTCAATCTTCATCGGTTCTAATGAAATTTTTGGAAATATTTCTGTTTTCCAAAATCAAAAAGGTGAAGGCTTGAAATCATTCTTCGCATTTGTTTCAATCCTTGTTCCAGTTATCACATTCTTTATTGCCTTCTGCCCATTCATTATCATTCATTTCCTCACATTAAAGTCATTGAAACAGATTGTTGAAATCATCAAAAGCTTCGACAACAAAGCAAAGGCTGAGGCCAAGGAAATGATTTTAATTCAAAGTGGCACCGAAGATCAAAGAATGGCAGAAATGCATACGAAATCAAAAGCAAGTATTGTATACATCGTTGTTATTGGCATTATATCTGTGATCTTCTTAATCATGACATTAATTGGATGCAGATTTGTCGTTAATGCAAACACAAACATCATTAACATTAATGGCTGGAACAGATATGCATCAGCAAGGTTGTCATTGGCTGCAGAAACTCTTAACTTAATTGCAACATCAGTTGCAAAGAAAGGCATTGCAAGGTCTTATATTTACACGAATCGTGAATTGATTTATAAGATGTTAAAGACCCTTTCAGGATATTTAGTTGAAGCAGAGAATTCTTTAATCGATGGAACAAACGAAACAGTTCCTTGCCAAGGTTTCGATTCTGAACTAGATAATTTGAACATTATTAACCAGGAAATAACATCAGAAACAGATGATCCAGCAGACTATTACGGCAAAGTTTCTATCCATCAGCAAATTTCTATTTTCTCAAACTATATCGATACAATTCTTCAAGATTTCATGTCAAATAAGTCATTAAACGTAGAAGTTGTTGCAAACGCAATCAATATCGCCAATGCTTATCTATTTGAGAGAATGTTCCAAGTAACCCAAAGACTTTTAGTATTGGCTCAGAAACAATACGATAAGATCATGACAATGTTTTACATTTGCGCTGCTGTTTTAGTTGTTCTTTCAATAATTTTCGTTATTGTAATTGCTGCTTATTACAACAACAGAGCAAGTGCATATAAAGCCACCATATTTGTTCTAAAAAGATTCTCTCCATACGCTTTACTCAACAACAAGAAGTTCTCAAAGATATTCTTGAAAGGAAAGGATCAAGAAAAAGATGATAGATTATCCACAGAAGGATTAATCATCAGGAATGCAAACGACCCAATCTTTTGCACAAACCTTTTAGGCGTTGTTGAAATTGTCAATAACTCCGTTTCAACATTGTTAGGATACACACCTGAACAGATCTTAGGTCAAAATGTTTCATCCTTCTTCGCAACAATTGATATGGAAAAGGTTTCCCAGAAGATGGAACAAATGAAGACAGGTCAGTCATCAAGCTTCTATGAAGATGATTACACAGTTGTTTCTGATGCTTCTAAGGATATCCCTGTTCACGCAACAATCATCGGAATGAAGAAAGAGAAGGATACAGATGTCAGCTCATTTGTTGTCATTTTAAGAGATCAGACAGCTTTAGTTGAACAGAAGAAGGCAGCTGAAGAAGCTAAAGCCAAATCAGAGAAGTTATTGTATCAGATCCTTCCAAGAGATATCGTCGTTCAACTCAACAGAGGCGAAAAAGATATTTCTTTCGTTGTTCCATCAGCAACAATCATCTTCATCGATATCAACAAGTTCTCAGAATACGCTGCAAACTTAAGTCCACAAGATATCATGGCAAACTTGTCTTATTACTTCGCTTGCATTGATAAATTGGCAGCTAAGCATACAATGATCACAAAGATCAAATTAATTGGTGATATTTATATGGCTGCTGCAGGTTTATTCAACCTCGATTCTCCACCAGAATCACATGCAGAACAAGTCATCCAATTCGCTATTGAGTGCGTCAGCATCTTAGATGAAGTCAATATCAAGTTGGATGCAAGTTTACAGATCAGAATCGGTATCAACACTGGTGGCCCAGTCATCGCTGGTGTTTTAGGTACTGATAAGCCTGCTTTCGATATTATTGGCGATCCAATCAATGTTGCAGCTAGATTGCAAAGTACTGATGAAGTTAACCACATCCACATTTCTCAGGCAACTTTCGATTTGATCAGGGGTTCTAATTACGAAGTCACACAACGCGGTGAAACATTCCTCAAGGGTAAGGGCAAGCAGATGACTTATTATGTTACTGTTCCTCCAACGGTCTTCAATGCAACAGGATCTCAAGTGTTCAAATCATAATTTTATTTTTAGTTTCGTATTATCTAATGTTATTTTAATAAAAATTTTAGTTGACATGAACTTATTTTAAATTTTCCAAATTTGATTTTTAGTATTTTGAAAATTGAAAAGCAACATTTCATCTATCTTCTATTTATCAGTATTCTAATTCAATAATATATGAATTCATTCGTTTGGAATTAATCAGAAAAAAATAATTAATTTCGAATATGTATCTTCAAGACCAAGCGTTTATATAAGCCTTATGGATAAACAACGCTTCCATTCAGTTAATTTTGTTTTTTCATCTTTATTTTCAAATAATTTTAAAAAGATCCCTTGAATTGGTCTTATAAAGGCTGATTCAGTTTCGAACACCATTGCTATACATTTTATTTGCCTTAGGATAATCTCAGCTAACATAAAATCATTTATCATCTTACAATTTGCCTTCGAAGTTCTTCATTCTTAATTGACTTATCAAATTTCATAAAATTGACGGCACAAATAATTCTTCTCATCCGTTCCATCCTTGGATGCATAATGTTTTCTTCCCAATTATTAAAAAGTTTTTTTTTTCGAATGATTCGAGCAGACGTCCAATGAAAGAGTTTTGAGGAAAAATAAAAAATAGAGATAATTGAGCCATTCATACATGCCAAGTTTCATGCAATATGCCCGAAATTATCGAAAATCTTTGTATCGATATTCGGAGTCAAATAAAATGGATATAGAAACATGCGTTCATTATGCACACAGGACCGATTCTCTTAATATTTCAGAATAAATTACTATTTTTATTCTAATTTTATTTCAATTTTTATATTTTCAAGCTTAAGATAGAAATATTACTGCGATTTGTTAATAAAAAGGAACAAGGTACAATGTTTTAATGTGAGTTTCAATTTATAAATATGATCGATTGTACGTTTTGTCATTTGAAATTTTGAAATTGCGGAAGTTTATTTTTCATTTTTAAGTTATTTTTGCATTACATAGAGCATATATTAAAAATTCGCTGTAAGCTCATTTGAAAATAACTGGCGCAAATTTGAGATTCTATACGTTAGCCTTCAAATTTTGAAATTTTGATGAAATTTTTTTTAGTGCGTTTATTTAGTCGTTTCAGATGCTACATTCTATTGGCATCACAAGTGAAAACACATTTTCGAACTTTTCACTTCCTAAATGTGGCTCAGCAGATATGATTCACTCAATAGCTCTTCAGCAAACAAGAAAAGATTATTCAAGATCAGATGATGAGTATAGTGATCCGTCTATTATTCTTGATAGTGATGATGAAGATGACGATGATTGCATATTCAGCGATTTCGATCTTCCAGACGATTTTACAATCCCGAATCAGAAAGCAATCGCCCAACCAAAAGAATTTCATTACGATATGGCTCAAGTATTACAGAACGAAGAGACATCACAAATCATTCCCTATGGATTGATAGCCGAAGTCCAAGGTTCAAAATTTAGCCAATATAGATTTTTACTTGCTGACTGGCTGTTCAATCTCTCATTTTGTTATCCAACCAATACAGAAACTCTCTTCCAATGCTTCAAGGTAATGGACACATATTTATCCAAAAAACATGTTCCATTATCAAAATTACAGCTTATTGGATGCTCATGCCTTTGGATATGCTCAAAGGTTGATTTTCATACAATAGAAACATTAGATCCTCTCACAAAAAACTGCCATCAAAAATACACAAAGGCTGAATTCCGTCAGGCCGAAATCGATATTCTTACAACAGTAGATTACAAAATACAGACTGCTTCGGCCAACTATTTCTTAAAGTACTTCCTCGAAAAAATTAACGCATCTGCAAAACTCAGCGCAATAGCATCATTTTATTCAGAAGTTTCATTGTTGTATATGAACTTCAGTTCGTATGCTCCTTCAGTGATTGCTTTATCTTCATTGATTATTGCAAACCATCTTTTGAACAATGCATGCGATTTACGTCCGTTAAAGTGCTATCTGAAGAATGTATGCCAAAATGATATCCTTCTTTGCACCAATATGCTTAATAGATCTGGCGGAAATATAATTACAAGAGAGAAGCTCGGCATCTGCAAGAAACTTCGTAGACGTTATCATGAAAAAGATATAGATTTGTTAATTGCTAAATCGGCTGATTTGTTTGAGTCATTTAGTTCAATTGTTCATTAATATTATTAATAAATTGTTTTTTAATTTACTATAACTACTTAATCATTTTTTTATAGACATGTTTGTAGATGTTTTGTGGTAGCAAGGTTAAAAACAATACTATTTATTTCGAGAAAAATGAAATTCTAAATATTCTAGGGACCTAAAATCAAATATTTAGGGAGAAACATAATGAAAATCCATAAAAAAGATCTCAGGCTTTTTATTATCTATACAATCCCTTCGTTTTTACTCTTCAGTCTTTTCTTTTATATGAGTACATATGGTGTTCCTACTGAAATTGACGACGAAAAAGTTTGTTCTTTTGATCTTTCTGTATCAGAAGATTTTTTCACGCTTAAGTACAAAAGGAATATTCCATTCATCAATACATCCAAAATATTACAGTATATTAGATTAGAAACACATTATCTCGATGAAAAAGTTCGCTTTGATGGACCATCGGGAAGAATAATAAATTCAACGCAAAACTCTGTTACGATACAGTATTACATGCCAACTACATCGAAATATAGTGGTATTCTTAAATGTGGCAAAAATTTTGCAAATCAGCAAAAATTTAGAACCGAAATTCACAATTTTACAATAGACGATGAGTACAGTCGCCTCAGCTGCCATCATGAAGATGACTATCCTATGCGATGGTGTCATGCCCACAACATTGTTTACGATAAATCCCAATTTCGATTCTTATCTCCGGCCAAATTTACATTCCCTTCACCTTTCCTAATTCCAGGAGCTCGAGCTGGCCCATTTGATGTAGAAACAGACCGATTAGAAACAGAACCAGTCACATTATTGTATACAGCGCAGAATTATCCAGAAAAATTGATTGTTGATACAAAACCGAACTATTTATACGGCGGATTTTACAATTATCAGCAACTTTGGCATGCAACTTTTGATTTTATTATTCCATTTTACAAATTTGCACGGCAATATAAAGTTCCTGATAATGTATCCAATAGGATTGTGTATACAAGATCACAACCGATATGGGGATTTATGGAACTATGGAAAGTTATCTCAGATCGACATTTTATCAACCTTGATAAGGACAGAATTGCTCCAACTCTATTTAAAAACATTACAATAGGCATAGAACGTAATGAAAAATATCCTTTCATGAACAGAACTGTTGATGACGGCGTTGGATTTAAATATAATTTCAATTCTTCATCAGCACCAACATTTAGAGATGATGTTTTACGCACAAATAACTTATCAACAAGTGCTGTTGGCGTTGATGGTAAAGTTTACGTTCTATTCATTGATAGAAGAGATGCAGGGCGTTCATTAACGAATACTTATGAATTATACGAACACATGAAGAAAACATGTGATTTCTGCAAGGTAGACCTCATTAAAATGCAGACAATTCCTTTTATTAAACAGATTGAATTAGTTTCTCGAGCATCTGTCCTTGCCGGACTCCATGGATCAGGTTTGACGAATGTTATGTGGATGGCACCAAGTAGGGAGAATCACACGACCCATTTGATTGAATTTCTTCCAAAAGGATATAATTGTCGAGATTGGTATAAGACAGCAACAGAAGTAGCAAGAGTTGAGTACCATGAAGCAATGGCTGTCGATAAAGGATACCACAAAGACAATGTAAAGCTTGATTGGTGCTTGGAAAGATTATATTTCTGTCCTACAGCACAATGCCATGATTTCTTAAGAGATCAGACAATGACATTGAGTCCAAAAGATTTTGATAAAGTATGGCTACCAATCGTTGAAAAATTGAAGAAAACAATTCTTGTTCCTTGAAATATTCATCTTATTTATATTTGTTTTGTATGTAGTAATAAATATATAGATACTCTAATTGATATGAAGCCTTTTTATAATACAATTGATCAAATTAATTATTTTAAATATTATTGACGTGTAAATTATTTAAATCAATTGAATTTTTGAATCTTTTGCGGCAAATTAAATAGATAAAATCGCTCAAGTATATCAATTATGAAAATAAGATCTATTAAACCTACTTAGATTTTTTCATAATGAATTTCGGACTTAATTTCAATTTTAAATATCGAGATTAAATAAAATAACTTAATCCAACTAATGGATCAGTGATATTAGAAAAATCACATGTAAGGATATGTATTTTCAAGGAAAAATATCATTTTTAACAATGAGTGAATGCCATGAAGGTTATATCCATTGGATATACAAGCTTTTTGGTAATTGTGTCGCAACTCCCAAAGAGCAAGCAAGCTTTGGCATTGGAATGGTATCAAATTGCATCTGGCTTATCTGTTCAATTCCTCAAATTTATCATAATTTTAAAACAAAGCACGTCGAAGGACAGAGTCCATTCTATTTTAGCTTAATGGTTGTAGCAGATTCTTTAAATTTAATTGGAGCTCTCATTGTTCATGCTTTGGCAACTCAAATCGTCACAGGTTTTATATATGTAACAGTTGATTTCATTTTACTTACTCAATTTACATTATATAAAGGCTGGCCATGCCAAAGAAAGAAAACTCACGATACACTTGGATATTCAAGTGATATATCTCAAGTTTCATTACTTACAGCTTCAGTTGCAACAGCAGCAGTTGTTGCAATCGATTACTCAGCACCATACCGCGGATCAAAACTCTTCGGCTCAGTTTCAGGATGGATAGGTTCGGGATTATACATTTCATCTAGGATTCCCCAGCTTATTAAGAATATTGAGAGGAAATACATCACTGATTTCAGTCCTTTTTATATCTTACTTATTGTAACAGCAAATGCAACTTATTCTTTTTCCGTTTTCCTCTATAGTTTAGATCCTGAATATCTTTGGGCACAAACTCCATGGATTGTTGGTTCTCTTACACCAATGATGTTTGATTTGACAACTTTGATCCAAATTTGCATTTTTGGAAGGCATCCACCTGCTCCAGCCCAAAAAGAATTATATATTGACGGATATTCTCCTCAATAATCATATATTATATTGACTATTAAGTCAAAATTTCTATAGATATTTGATTTTTTTTTAAATAGTTAGAGTAAATCTATCTTTTAATAGAGTAATTCTTTATATTATATTTTCCCATTTAGCTTCTTATATTGACAAGGCAACACCACTTGATGTTGCTCTTACATTTGTTGAGGAATTGTCATGCAATTTTCTTAGGCTTTACTCCTCTTCAATGAATTGAATTAATAAACCCTGAAAATATATTAAATAAGGTGGACTTCTAACTATGAATGATATTGCTTTTCTATTTTCGGACATAATTTTTAGCTATAATATCTTTCGGCAATATAAAGTTAACAAACTATTATATGATGACAGAATATAAATACAAAACAAGCTTTATTTAACAAAATAAATAATATAAAAAATTTCAAATTAAGTTCTTGAAGCAGAAAGGTTGACTTTTGTTGTTGTCAGTGAGTCATAACTATCTTTCGAAAACTTTAATGGGAAATCTCCAGCCAAAACTGAACCAGGACTAAGAGAATTCGCCAAATCAATGTATTCATAAGGGATCATGTAATGACCACATGACAATTCATCCCTTACGTTGCTATATAATGGTTCAAAGTATTTATTTAGTTCCCAAAACTGGACACTGTTAATCATTATTCTTTCCCCTGTTGTTAGGTCAATAAAATAGGTATAGGTAAATCCATAATTGTCTTCGCTAACAGAAGGATCGCGTAATAATGAAGATCCAAGCATAGTAAGCGCATATGTATGAGATGAGTTACAAATTACACTTCCTTGAAGACATTTAAGTGGTGTATATGTATTAATAGATGTTGAAGATATATTTAATGGCAACCAACTGTAGGGAGAGAACAAATTTTGACATTTTGAATCTGTAAACTCGCTAGAAATTCCTTGTCCATCGCTAATTGTTCTTCCAATGTATCCTGATTGAAGTCCTCTAACAGTTATGCCTCCATTTGGAAAGTATTGTGAATTAAATTCAACAATACTACGACGGCATGTATCATCGTCATTAAAGCCTTCAACAACGAAATTCATATATTTTTTGCTTACAACTGGTACTGCTGGTTTTTTCGGAATAAAGAAATCTCCATTACTAAGGAAAGTTGATGCTGATTTTGAGGCGCAAAATGTTTCACTGTAAAATGGTGGACATGTAGTTAAACTTTTATTGCATTCTAATGTATTTTGAGCATCAGAAATTGAACATGGTAAAAAATACTTCGCTTCGATAATTGGTAACGATAAAATGAGTGGATTTTTTGATGATACAAGCATATCTTTGATTTGCTGTACACTAGATCCAATTGTAGGTTTTTTAAATTCTACTAAAAAGGTTTTTGTTGAGTTTTGCTGTTTTAAGAATTTCCTTAATTGTGATTGCTCGTTATAAAGCATATTGATAATTCTTGTTGCAGACAAGCTACGTCCGGCACTGAAATCTTCACATAATTCTGAATAATCAGCGGAGGTGTTTAAACAAAGTAATATAATAGCTTCGATTATCCTATATTCTTCGAAAGACACATAATCATCGTTTGTTAGTTTATTGTAAGAAATTCCCATTTTGCGGAAATAAGATTCGAAAAATGAAGTTAATGAATATATGTAATTAGGATACTCCGACATCTTCTTTGATGGCACATCGAAGCTTTGATCAATTATAAAGCGTTTCGGATAAAATACGCTCTGAGGGTCAACATCTTCAGCTGGCCTTTGATAAGAAAGTGATATAAGCATTGCAAAGAAGGCTACAATACATGAAAATATGATTGTACCTACAATACTAGCTTGAAAAGATTTTTCGTTTTGCATATTGAATTTATTTTAAAAATTTAATATTTATTCCGTATTACCACAAAAATTGTGAATATTTGTTGAATTTACACGTAATAATTATTAAAGTTAAAATGAATATTTCTGAAATGATTAATTGAGTTAGGGGTGGGGGTGAGGGTCTGAATCGTGATCCAATATAATCTTGGATAAATTTTAAAAACTTTCTAAAAATTCATATGGTACAAATATCAATGAAAAAGATGATTTTTGGAGAATTGCTCTTCATATTGAAAAAAAAAAAAAAAAAAAAAAAAAAAAAAAAAAAAAAAAAGGGAGTGGGGCTTCCAGGCACTTCGTGCCTTCTAACCCTGAGGATGAATGAGTATAATGAAGTTTTTTTTTTCTTGGGGTGGGCTTCCAGGGGCTGCGCCCCTTCTAGCCCACATAAATGAAGTTTTTATATACGGGTCTTCCAGGAGCTTTTCACAAAATATATATGTTTTCATGTTTTGTCATGATTTCATCGTAAATGTTTTGTCAAGACTTCTTCTTCGTAAATGTTTTGTCAAGACTTCTTCGTAAATGTTTTGTCAAGACTTCTTCGTAAATGTTTTGTCAAGACTTCTTCGTAAATGTTTTGTCAAGACTTCTTCGTAAATGTTTTGTCAAGACTTCTTCGTAAATGTTTTGTCAAGACTTCTTCGTAACGAGTGTAAATGAACCAAAAATAATGTTTAGGTGAAGAGGTGAGATTTCACCTGTTTTTTCACCTCTTTTTTCACCTCGTGAATTTGTCATGATTTCATCGTAAAGACTTTGTCAAGACTTCATCGTAAAGACTTTGTCAAGACTTCATCGTAAAGACTTTGTCAAGACTTCATCGTAAAGACTTTGTCAAGACTTCTTCGTAAATGTTTTGTCAAGACTTCTTCGTAACGAGTGTAAATGAACCAAAAATAATGTTTAGGTGAAGAGGTGAGATTTCACCTGTTTTTTCACCTCTTTTTTCACCTCGTGAATTTTCATGAATTTTACACCAAAAATAATGTTTAGGTGAAGAGGTGAGATTTCACCTGTTTTTTCACCTCTTTTCTCACCTCTTGAATTTTCATGAAATTTACACCAAAAATAATGTTTAGGTGAAGAGGTGAGATTTCACCTGTTTTTTCACCTCTTTTTTCACCCGTTGAATTTTCATGAAATTTACACCAAAAATAATGTTTAGGTGAAGAGGTGAGATTTCACCTGTTTTTTCACCTAATTTTTCACCCTCTTGAATTTTCATGAAATTTACACCAAAAATATACTACTAGGGTCATTTACGAAGAAATCTCAACAAAGTCTTTACGATGAAATCTTGACAAAGTCTTTACGAAGAAATCTCAACAAAGTCTTTACGAAGAAATCTCAACAAAACATAGACAAGAAAGTTCATGAGAAATTAGATGAAGAAGTCTTAACAAAGTCTTTACGAAGAAATTCATGAAAATTCAAGAGGTGAGAAATGAGGTGAAAAAAGAGGTGAAATCTCACCTCTTCACCTAAAATATATTTTTGGGTCATTTACGAAGAAATCTCAACAAAGTCTTTACGAAGAAATCTCAACAAAGTCTTTACGAAGAAGTCACAATAAAGTCTTTACGAAGAAGTCACAATAAAACATCTGTCACTTTTCGGGTAAAAACATTTTTATTATTATATATAAATGAATTTTACAAAACCACCGTTACCCTTCTTTGGAAATAAGAGTAGATGTAAAGATATTCTATTGAGAGAACTTAAGAAACTACCGAATGGTCTAACATTTGTAGATTTGTTCGGTGGAAGTTTCTATATATCCCATTTGTGCCATACTGTATTTCCTGACTCAAAGATTATATGCAATGACTTCGACAACTATATGAACCGTCTCAAACATATACCAGACACAAACAAAATATTGAAAGAGTTAAAAGAAAAGATACCTATAGGTAAGATGGAACGTATACCATTAGATAAGAAAAATACTGTCAGAGAGGTTTTGAAAAAGGCAGAGTATATTGACTGGGATAGTATATCTGCTAGACTATTATATAGTGGTGCTATAAGAGTTCATGACATTGAAACACTTATGTCAAAAGTTTTATATCTTAACTATACAAATGTTTTCAAAGAGAACATAGAAAAATATATTGAGGGTATAGAGTTTGTGAGATGTCATTGGACAGAGTTGTATGAAAAATATAAAAACAAGGAAAATGTTTTCTTTATAGTAGACCCGCCGTTCTATAACACATATGATTTTCAATACCAAGTAGACTGGACTTTGAGAGACTCTTTAGAAACTTTAGACGTTTTACATAACCATCCATGCTTTTACTTTACATCCGATAAAAGTGGTTTGGAAACCGTTATGAGATGGTTAGAGGACATACATGACTATGATTTTAGATACGATAAGATAGAATATGAGAGAGGTCCTATAAACCGGAAAAAGTGTCATAACAAAGAAATTTTACTAGTAAGTAAATGTGGTTTGAAATAGGACTACTTGTTTTAGGTTTTTTCCATTGTGTCATTTACTTATTTGACGTGGCAGAAAAGTACAGAGAATATGAAGATGAACCAATACCAGCAAATGTTCAGCATATGTACTCGTAAGAGATATTTTTATCTAATATTAAAATGGACGCACAGAACTTAGCAAATGCACAGCAACCTGGACAACCAAACCCAGAGAATATTCCAAATGAAGTTAGAATACAAACTGCAATGGCAAACTATGGTCAAGTGCCAACAGATGTACAAATGCAAACTGCCATGTCAAATGACGCTGCGTTAGGTTTGCCACCATGGTATGCAAATATGAGATGGAAAGAGTTTTATACAAACCCTGAAGTGGATATAAACAACTTTATGCAGATGACGCGAACACAGGAGTTGACCCAGAATATGTTTTCTACCAGAGGAGAAACAGAATGTATGAGCTCCAGTTAAAGAATGCTATGGAACTCAACAGGAAACGTAAGAGACTAGGCGGACATTAGATTTTTACATATAGTAAAATGGGTTTCTTTGGAAGAATAGGAAACTTCTTTCGAAATGTTGGAAGAGGTATATGGAATGGAATAAAATCTGTCGGAAGAGGAATTTGGAACGGTGTCAAAAATATTGGTAAAAGAGTAGGTCAGTTCGTTGGTATTATACCTAAAGACCCTGAACCAGAAGAACAAGCTCCTGTTATACAACAGCCTGAACCTGCACCACAGTCTAGTTGGCAACCAAATCCAACACCTCAACCGTATTAAAAAATCATATTTTTACCGTTCGATAGTAGTTGTATATGAAACTAAGTTCTAAGTAAAACGCGTGGTATAATGGAATTATTCTCTTTCTTCCATCTGTAGTAAACCATACTTGAAAGTCTGAAATACTTCCACTCGGTGGTTCGTATAACTTTGTAGGTTTTTCGTAAAAGTCATTTGCCAAGCATAAGAAAGAGTTTTGGGCGCCAGAAAATGAAGCATGAACAATAATAGCATCTGAGTCGAAAACATTTTCATATGTTCCATTAGGGTTTTCGACTTCATAAAAGTTCGGGTGTACTGGATATGCTGCAGGCTGATTTAACATCCTCAAAAATCTATACCATGCCAAGTTGTTATATTTTGTAGAAATATAAACGTTTTCTCCAAGGTCTTCTATTCTATTGATTTTAACAGTTGCATTTTTCCTGTCATATAAAATATCGAGATGGTACTCTCCTTCGTCAATGTTAAACTGGTTTGCATATTCGATATAGATATCGTTTATTTTTTCTTGAAAAGCTTGAAGAGTTGTTTCTAAGTTTACAAGCAAATTCACTTGTAAAAGTTTTCCCTGTTCAAATTTCTCATACGTACGTTTTTCTTTGTTATAGTATCGAACTTCAAAAGCGACCGTAAATGGGAAACCATGTATGGCTTCTGAAATGAACTTCATTCTACGAAAGCAATAGCTTTTGTGACGGATGGGTCTCTTAACCATCTTAACGGGTAGTCAAAACGATAGCCTTCATGCTTTACGGTCTCTGTCTCAAACTTTTGACCGACATTCGTAAAAAGTTCATCTAATGGTTTAGTTGTAGCAACTCTTGAATTTTCTTTTTCTATTGAAAGCATATTTTATCTAGAATAAAAATGTCGAATGAAACAGCGTCTATGAGAGAAATACAACACAACCGACAACTCATTTTGCAAGCTCTAAATAAGAACACAACAAACTTTTCAAACTATTCTAAGATATCTGAGTCATTGAAAGAAGGAAACTTAAAACTGACGATAAACCCAATGACAGATGAGTTTCTGTTTCAAGACAGTAAGAACCATACTGTCTGTGTAAATCCAACAAAAGGAACTTTAAACGAGAAACCTATAGATGAACTTCTTTTGAAAGCAGATGTTAACAACAAAGCTGACAAAGAGTATGTCATTGAAAAAGTTCAAGAAGAACATGACAGAGCAGATGCAACATATGCAACGAAAGAGGATGTTGAAAAGAAAGCTGACAAAGAGTATGTTGACGATGAGTTAGCATATCTGGCTAGTGGGTTAGTGAAGAAGGCAGATAAGGAATATGTGGATGAAAAAGACAATGAAATTATAAAAAGGGTTGAATGGTACCATGAACGGACATCGAAGATTTTAGAAGGTAAAGCCAATACAGGGTGGGTTTCAGGATGTTTAGACCTTAAAGCTGACAAGAACCATACACATACCATTGCAAATATTACAAACTTACAAGAAACCTTAAACAGGAAAAGTGACGTTGGACATACACATACCATTGCAAATATTACAAACTTACAAGAAACCTTAAACAGTAAAAGTGACGTTGGACATACACATAACTTCTTCTCAACTGTTGGTATAGAAAGTATTTTAGGAACGATTGAAAAAACTGGTGGGGGTGGATTATATTTTAAACCTCCTAACTTTCCAGAAGGTTTAACATCGGATAAAGACATTAAATGTAGAAATGTCTATGTCATGGAGGATGAAAAAAAAGTTAAATTCACT